AAACCAGCCTTGGAAAGTCAAGAATTACATTTAAAATTACACATCTTCCAGTTTGTGACACTAAAAACTATTATTTAAAAAATAAAATAAAAATACTAATTTAAGATATAAATTAATCAGCTCTGGGTTGCTTTTTTATTCTGTTACATGTTTAGATTTATCTGCTTTGTCGTTTTTCCACCTCATACAGAGCCCTGGAATAAGAAGATTTATGTATAAAATACAAAAAAAAAAAAAAATCCACAATTTTATTTCAAGGACATAATATTTCATTTTATTTTATGGGGAAAAATACGAATTCCTTTGGCTGACTGTCTTATATAACCTGCTCCCATTCAAGGAACATAAACTTATTTGACAATGTTTTACATAATTTAAGATTAGTTTTTGCAGTGCAGAACCAGACTGCTGCAAAATAAAATGTTTACAACATTTTCTATGAGTTTACAGAAGCATCTGAATGAGAGGCCTGGAGCCAAAGGTCCCAGACTGGAGGAACCATGAGGCCTCAATAAAGGACACAGCTAGCTGCAGGCTGGGCCATCCGGTCACAGACGCACAGAGAACACAGCCAGAACAGACTGAACTTTCCTGAGCATTGGAGACGCCTTAGCCTCCCAAAAAAAGAGAATAACACAGGTATCAGGTCTAGAGAAGACAGTGGAAGTCTGTCCAGTTAAACAATTCAGTTTTTTTTTAAGATATCTGATCATTTCATATATTTTATATGTGTTCTGAAAGCTAACCAGCAAAGCTAATGGTGACCAGGTATAGAGGTAGACGCCTGGGTTGTCATGATACTAAAACGCTCAACTCCATACCGATACTCAGGAAAATATTCGATACTCGATACCAGAAGGATAAAAACAAAGACCATAAATTTAACAGAAATATTTCATTAATAAATAAAATACAAAAATAAATAAATACAATAAACAATAAGAACAATATTTTGAGGTTGTATGCTGTGCACAATATTATTTTTTTTATCAAGCTTACCTAACAGAATAAAGTGTTCCTTCCTTGGCTATGCTTTGCACACATAGCAATGACACTAGCCAAACCGGTTAACAAACAAAAATAATTCTCAGCAGCTGCACTGGTTACAAAAAACGTCTGAAACTGAAAAGTGCACAGAATTATTCAATCACACAGTGTTCAGAAAGTGCATTTTCCTCTATTCTGCACTTTAGATGAATGATTGTTTAGGTGCCACTGGTGGTAGGACTGTATCGATACTTTTGAAAATGAGTATCTTATCTGGATACAACGTTTTAGTATCAATACTTTTTTGAGTATCGACACTTTTGACAACCCTAGTAGACGCATCTCTATATCCTAGGGTGACCAAACGTCCGTATTTCCCGGGACATATCCGTATTTCACGTCCTGGAGGAAATGTCCTGATTTCACTGCGCACGACGCTCCGTGTGACGTAATCCCTGAGCCGCGTCAGTGCGGGCAGCCCTGTTCTTAATCAGAGGCTCTGTTCGAAAACCTGGGCTGCATCCTCCAAGGACGCGGTCTACCTAGACTGGATCCTTCGAAGTCCTTGAAAATAAGGAGACCGGAAGAGTTTTGGCTGTAAATTCGAAGAGGTCTACCCTTCGGCGGGTTTTACCGGCGTATGCTCTGTTGCTTAGCAACCGTGAAAGTTGACACACAAAGCAGGAAAAGAATGAATACTGAGGTTTTCAAAACTGTTTGTTATTTATTTATTTTTTTCAAAGGTTAAAGTGAACAAAGACTACACTCACAAGAATCCAGAGTGGAATAAAGGTTCCAACCACTGGGAGCAGGAACAAATAAAATCAAATGTAATGATAGAAACCTTAGTCAGTTAAATAACCTGCTGCTGTCATTCTGCACATCTCTGATGTTGCTGCTATTTTCAAATACTGTAAAAATGTCCATAGCTGCATGTTGGTTATTTATTCTCCAGTTTTATATTGTTAAAAAACTTTACAGTATTTTATTGTTTATATTTTAACTCTTCCCTATTATGTTATTCTTATACATTTTTCTAAGGTCCTCGTGTGACCATTTTTAATAATCTTTCTGCTGCTGTAAATCTGCCCATTGTGGGACAATAAAGGGATTTTCTATTCTATTCTATAAAAGGGTTAGAAATATATAAGTAAATTTAAACAATGTATCTACAAAATATATCTGCAAAATCTCTAATATTCAACAACAAAAAATACGTAGTTAAGCATATTGTGCAAAACAACAATAAAAAAATTAAACTCCTGTCAGATTTATAGTTCCCACACTGCAGATATATTAGAATCTGTCCTTAAGTTACAGCCAAACCCATTTAATCAGTAACAGATTAAAACCTTTAGATAAACCAAACATTACCCGCCACATATCTGACTCTATAACCATTAAAACAACTATTTTCATTTCTTTCAATCACCCCCAATGAGATTGTTTTACCAAATAATGTGTTATTTACCACTTTCCAATGGCTCTAGTTTACAAGCTTTCTTGACCTCATTCACAACTCTTCACGAAAAAATTTTGGTTTCAAACATAAAATCCACGCAGAACTGCAATACATCTGCATCATTTTATTGATTATGATTTTCAAACCTTTTAATTTGTTTTTTTCCTCTATGTGTAAATTGCAGCTTTTAGGCTGCTTTGATGGTTTAGTTCAAATACTGCAAACTTAGTTTACTGTTGAGCGGGTAAAATGGATAAAAATGTATATATTTACTATTTAAATTTTAAAAAATCTAAATTTGATACCATGTGAGCACCTGCAACACTTTTAGCCTGTCTGACCAGAACACAACATTTAACTGTGAAGTCTTGCCAATCATTTGTTGTTAAAAGGGAGTTTTTCCTCTCCACTGTCGCTCAAAGCATGCTTAGTGTGAGGGATTGCCTTCGATTCAATGAGTCGATGCAATCAGCTGGTTTTTCTTAGATAGAAAACTTTGAATCAATCTGACTGGATGATCTGGTGAACTGGAAAGTGCCTTCAGATGACATGTATTGTGATAGGAATAAACTGAATTGAATCCTATAGCAAATACATAACTAAACTATATTTCTCCACACTTTCACACTCCGTCTTCCCAAACTATATCAAATTAAACTCCATAAATCACAATCTAAACGTAGCAGCCGCTGGGTGAGGCATGGGAAGCTGGTAATTCCCACCCTGCCAGCATCACCTGAACGCCTCATCCTGTTTGGGCCCGTTCCAGTAATAAATATTGTCCTCCATCGCTGCTTCCTGACTAATTAAACTAAACAATCAGATATCTCACCGCCAGCGAAGCTGGAATAACCTGGTGTTGTTTTTAGTCGGACATCCACGCAGCCCATGGCCTCACACTCACAGACAGACTGTCTATTCTGAACACCGGTTTACTTTTTGGCTCAGCGACCAGTTCGATAATATTTTAAATCCGGGCTGATTTCTCCGCCTGTCTTACCTGAATGTTGCTCTCCGTCCGGAGGAACAGGGAAGCTTCCACTCCCTCTGCTCCATCTCTTCAGCATCAGCATCACACGCTTCCTCGGCCTCTCTGGATTCCAAGCTGTAGACCTACCGCGCCCCCTGGTGGCTGATCTCAGACACTGCTATATATATATATATATATATATATATATATATATATATATATATATATATATATATATATATATATATATATATATATATATATATATATATATATATATATATATATATTTATTTTATTTTTTTAAATGAACAGAACTTTGAAGAAACAACTGAATATAGTCTCTAGTTTTTCTCTCCCAAACACAGTTTTGATCATCGACATCACTGGTCGAGGAGAAGCATTAAAAATAGTTGGAGCCCATGTCCTGCCTACATCTTTATGTGGCTCTGAGGTTCTGACTCTTGCTGCAGTCCAAACTTTCTAAATCTCAAAATTCCCAAATATAGTTATCACCGTTGCCTTGCACAATCTTCCTTGCACAATTTTCCCTGCTAACTAAATTTCCACAAATCTCATTTATTACAGCTCTTGAAATCCAGCATTTTTTCCCCAGTAGTTACATGTTCTGGCTTAGACAGCTATAGAGCTATAGCAGTCTTCAATTCAATTCAGTTTATTTCTATAGCGCCAATCCACAACACATGTCATCTAAAGGCACTTTGCAGTTCAACTAGATCATCCAGTCAGATTGATTCAAAGTTTTCTATGTAAGGAAAACCAGTGGATTGCATTGACTCTTCAACAATCCCTCACACTAAGCATGCTTGTAGTGACAGTGGAGAGGAAAAACTCCCTTTTAACAGGAAGAAACCTCCAGCAGAACCAGGCAGTCTTCCACTTCGTAACAGATCATATCATAGAAATTCCATGTTAAAAACCTTTTATCGGTCTTAATTAAACTGAATTTTGTCATACAACCCATAATCATCAAAATAATGACAGTTTGCAAACAATATAGGTTGAGGGTTTGATGCTACAGTCATTTAGATAGGGGGTCTTCAACGTTTTCCAGGCCAAGGACCCCCCCAAACTGATGGCGAGATGAAGCGGGGACCCCCTAATTATATATTGCATGAAATGGTGTCATATCAAACTGGTCCTATAGTCACTCTATTACAGATGGAGTCATGTAACGAAAGTAATTTCTCCCTGGGATTATTAAAGTATTTCTGATTCTGATTCCTGGTTGATGGGACAGGTGTTGTGAATGAAACGGTGTCCAGCTTGAAAGAGCTCCTTTGTGTCCCTGAATGTGTGCATTGATGACTTAAAGATCTTCTGCCTCCATTTATCTGTTTACTACAGTCTGTTGGATTCATGTTAACGTGGATTTAAAGATTTTTCAAAAATTGGAGGGGGGCAGGGGGTGGGGTATAAAAAAAAAAAGTCTAATCAACCAAAACTTTTGCAACCTCCATGCAGTACCACCATGGACCCCCTAGGGGTCGCAGATAGAGAATAAAAACAACATGCTATTTTTTTCAGAGCCATTAAAATCTGCTGGTTACTTCTCAAATGTTTTTTTAAATTTTTTTTTTTTTTATTTAAATAGTCAACACTTAAGACATCTGTGTAAATATTCTTTTATCTGAAAATACAAATTTGTTTCGCGTCTACAATTTTCTCCTGGAAGCAAGTATAAAAATAAAATAATGACACGATCGCACAGATGACACATTGCACCGGCTCAAGCCGCACATTTCAACATGCAAACGTACGTCTAATGATACAGTTTCCCTTTCATACATGGTTGAATAGATAACTAGACAGTTTCATCTATGCTGCGCCAAAAGTTGGGTTTGCAAAGTTTCCAGTCGGCTCTTCAGGAATGTCATTCTCGGCAAAATCTTCCGGGTCGAGATCCGCCTCGAACATCCGCTGCAACAAAGCGTCCACCGTCCTGTACCCTGTAAAAAAAAAAAAAAAAAAACACAAAACCATCCACGGTTTAACACAAGAGAGACGTATAGAGAAATAAAAGAACTATCTATTCTGTGATTTTTCAGTTGTAAAAGTGAAAATAATAAAAACTGCTTGACATGTTCCAGGTCCCTACTTTACTTTAACCATTCATACAAGGACTTACTTTTTGAGGCCACCTTAAATAGAAGCGTAGGCAGGTTTGCTGTGGGTGACTGCCCATTCCCCAAGTCGTTATCCATGGTTTCCATGGCGTTAACCAAATTATCCTCCAGCTTCTCCCTGGTAAATACAGTAAGAGCACATGACAGAGAAAAAAAAAAGTCTTAGGAAGAAAAGAAAGCAGCTGAAATGGATTCATCTGTGATTTGAGTCCTGGAAGCTTCTCCATCTCTGTCGAATGTACTTCCATCAGACCTTTCTCCAGGGATAACCTCGTCTCAGTCTCACTGGTATTTTTCTTGTTTGTGCATCAAGTTGACCCAAAGACCAGTTCTTTTTTTTGGTAAATATAATTTTTTTTAAAAGTGACGAGAATAGTCATAAAATTCAGAGAATAATGTCGTAAAATTAGCTTTCTTTCTGAAATGGGTTCTCGTAATGTTACTGCTTTATTCTCGCAATCTTACGACTTCATTCTCGCAATCTTACGACTTCATTCTCGCAATCTTACTACGACTTCATTCTCGCACCGTTACTACGACTTCATTCTCGCACCGTTACTACGACTTCATTCTCGCACCGTTACTACGACTTCATTCTCGCACCGTTACTACGACTTCATTCTCGCAACGCCACGACTTCATTCTCGCAACGCCACGACTTCATTCTCGCAACGCCACGACTTCATTCTCACAATGTTATGACTTCATTCTCGCAACGTTACGACTTCATTCTCGCAACGTTACGACTTCATTCTCGCAACGCCACGACTTCATTCTCGCAACGCCACGACTTCATTTTCGCAACGCCACGACTTCATTCTCGCAACGTTACGACTTCATTCTCGCAACGCCACGACTTCATTCTCGCAACGTTACGACTTCATTCTCGCAACGTTACGACTTCATTCTCGCAACGCCACGACTTCATTCTCGCAACGTTACAACTTCATTCTCGCAACGCCACGACTTCATTCTCGCAACGTTACGACTTCATTCTCGTAATGCCACTACTTCATTCTCGTAATGCTACGACTTCATTCTCGTAACGCTACGACTTCATTCTCGTAACGCTACGACTTCATTCTCGTAATGCCACTACTTCATTCTCGTAATGCTACGACTTCATTCTCGTAATGTTACGACTTCATTCTCGTAATGTTACGACTTCATTCTCGTAATGTTACGACTTTATTCTCAAAAAAAAAAAAAAAATGTTTTATCTTTAGCCAGGCCCTAATACTCCATTGTAGATTTTAAATGATCAAATATCTTACGAAACTTTTTTTGTTTGTTACTTTAACCTCAGAAAATGCATCATAAATGCAAAAGAAAAGCATGCAGATTTCAGCTACATTAAAACAATCCAACTTTTCTTACTCTTGTTGAAAAGACCAACATAAAGCCACATAAATCCTTGAACGTTACATCGTAACGTACATATTACTGCAGTGCATGAAGGAAGGAAGTAACATTACTGTGCTATAGCAAGCTCAAGCTCCGCGATCTTTCTCTCCAGAGATGTCTGCAGATCGCCTTTCCCCACAGAATACTCCACAAAGAACGCCTCGAGAACGAACGCCACAAAGATGCTAAAAAACAAAACAGAAGGGATGAGATTATGTTGTGTGTGGGTGTCTGGGCGGGGGGACAAATAAGTGGGAATGTTTTTAAGTAGGACTGGTTTCCTTAGATAGGAAACAATGAATCAATTTGACTGTAGAACTGTAAGTGCCTACAGATGACATGTTGTGAATTGAGGCTATAGCAATAAACTGAAATAAATAAATGATAACAGATCTTACTTGATGATGACGATCACAACCATGACGTGGAACAGGACGAAGAAGATCAGGGCTGATTTATGAGTGACGGTGGCAAACCCGTTGCTGAGCAGTGGGATCAGATTAAGGAATCCAAAGGAGCCAAACACACTGGAAAAAACATCTAGAAATAAGTAAAAATATCTTAAATTAAGTGTATTTACCCTTAATTTGAGCAGAAAAATGAGATAGTTTGCCAATGGAATGAGTGTTTTTACTCTCAAAATAAGATAATTAGGTAATATGCACTTGAAATAAGACGATGTAATTCTTTTTTTCTTATTTTAAATGTAAATTGCCTTGTTCCATTGGCAGAATTTGTCTTTTACCTCCCCATGCAAGAATAAATGCATTTATTTTAAGAAAAAATATCTAGATTTTGATTTTTTCCAGTGCACTCGGAGTTAATCTTCAAAGTCTAAACTAAGTAAGGATTCCTGGTGACCAGCGGCGAAGCTTTGAGAGATGTTTGAGTGAAAGGATATCATGCCACTGGTTGACCACGGTGAGCTCCAACAGCAGGACGAAGGAGGACAGGACGTTATTGAAGTTGTTTTTGCAGTAGTTGAGTTGTGCGAAGGTGCTGCCGTTCAGTAAAGGGTTTCCACAGTACGCTGCTTCCGGATGGCTGGAGTCTGGAAAGAACCTCACTTTGTTTTTGAACAGCTCCATCCCCACCATGGCAAATACGTAATACACCACCTGAGAAGACAAAATGGCAGCTTCAGCCTCGGATTTCAACATCTTATGAGCCCAAACAAAGGGAGCCTGGAATCTATTTTACAATACAAAACAATCACTATAAATAAATAAAATATTTTTAAATGTGTTTTTGCCGTTAATTTGAGCTGTAAAATAAAGTAATCTGCTAATGGAATCAAGATTTTCCCCTCAAAATAAAGTGATTAGATATTAGAATAGAAAATCCCTTTATTGTCCCAAAATGGGGAAATTCTGGTGTTTAAAGCAGCAAAAAGATTATAGAAATCAATGGTTACACAAATAAGGACCTCAGAAAAGTGTATAAGAATAACGTACCAGTGAAGAGTTAAAGATACAAAATAGAATACTATACTGTAAAGGGTAATAATAGCATAAAAACTGTGCACCTGGAGAATAAATAACCAGTATACAGCTATGGACATTTTTACAGTAAAACGGCAGCAACATCAGAGATGTGCAAAATGACCGCAGCATTTTAATAAGTTGTTACATTAATGCCGATTTTGCAGTTTCAGTATTAGTCACTTAAATGAGGTTGATGTGAACAGTGGTGGATCTAGAGTCTTTCAGCTGCTGGGAGGAAGGATCTGTGATAACGCTCCCTGGTGCATTTAAGGAGCAGCAGTCTGTCACTGAAGGAGCTATCCGGTTCAGCACCAGCTTCATGCATGGGGATGGGGACATTATCCAACAGAGATGTACATTTAGTTCATTTAGTTAGGATCTGTCTGTTTCCCACCTCCTGCACTGAGTCCAGAGGGCATCCAATCACAGAGCTGGCCTTCCTGATCAGCTGATCTAGCTGCTTTCTCTCAGCTACAGGTAAGCCACTGCTACAAAGATGATGGCTGATGCCACAATAGAGTCATAAAAGGTCTTTAGGAGCGCCCCTTGCACCCCTAAAGTCTCCTCAGCAGGAGGAGTCTGCTCTGAGGTACTTATAAGAGTCCACTGTCTCAATATCCGTTCCCTGGATGTTCACCAGTGACTGCAAATAATATAAATCTAGACAAGTCATTTTTTCTTAAAATAAGTGCATTTGTTCTTGAATTGAGGAGGTAAAAGAGACTTTTTGCCAATGCAAACAAGACAATTTACACTTAAAATAAGAAAACACAATTGCATTGTTTTATTTCAAGTGCATATTATGTAATTATCTTATTTTAAGAGTAAAATTACTCATTCCATTGGCAAACTATCTCATTTACCTGCTCAAATTATGGCTGAATACACTTAATTTAAAGCTACAGTGTGTAATTTTCAGCGACATCTAGCGTCCAGACTGCAGACCGCAGCAACATGAACATCTCCCCCCCACCGCTTCTCCCCCCCAACAGTACGGCGAGCGTTACGGGACAAAATGTCTTCCACGACGTCTGCATCACCTACCTTCTCAACTGATGAGGTTTGTTTACATAGATAATTTTACAGATAGTATTTCATTAGTCTGTGTAGGGTATAGATTTCATGTAGACTTAAGATAATAAATATACCCGTTATTTTTTCTACATCGTTGTGACGTTTTGGTGAGCTGCTTTGCATGGTGATATAAACAGACGAAGTAATTGTAGTCATTAGTTTAACAGCGAGATTGTGTTCGCTGGAAGAATATATATTCCCCGTTTACAGAGTCCAAGTCAAGTTTGTGGCACGGGGGTTACAAGGCGAGGAAGAGGGCGAGGAAGAGGGCAGAGAGGCCGGGGTGAGCGTGCAGCCAGGGCCAGGCGAGGGAGAGGTACCAGTGGAGTGACTAGAGCAGAGGAGGAAAGGCTTGAAGATCTCCAAAGGAGCCGGAGAGATGTAACCGAGGTATATATCCGTATCTCGCTAATATGCAGCTTCATATATCTGTCTCTCTCACACTCACACACGCCACTATCAGCTGTGGTAATTTTATGAAGCTGTGGCCTTATCTAGGTAATGCTACCTGACATCTTGACAATAGTTTGGTTGAAACGGGTTGTGGGGGTGGGGTATTACGTGTATAAAAAGACAATTGTGTGTGTAGGATTAATTACCTGTCCAACAGAAAACTGGCAACTCAAGCGTCACTTTGAAAACCTTTTTCCTCCATCAGTGACTTCCATCGTGTAAATGCCGTGCCAATGTTGATCCGTGTTTTTTGCCGTTTCTTGTCACGCTTGCGTTTATTCTCGTCGTGTTTCCACTTCTTAGATGACGGGGGTTCGGTGTCCGCCGCTTTTCGTTGTGATACAGAGTAGGCATGATCCTCCATTCGTCTGATGTTTGGCCACACAGTGCCAAACAGTTTGCAAAGTCACTCACGCCTGCCGCCTTGTTCACCTTTCTTGTTACTGAAGCGCAGTATACCTACTTCTTCTTCTTCTTTGGTTTCAGGCAGACTAAACGCTTCTCAGGCATAATACTGCCATCTATTGTTCAGTACCGTCTCAGTTCATCTCTCTCAACTTGCCGTAGTTACTTTCGAGCGTAATGGGCGATCTCGCAAAAGCTAGTTTGTTGGCTCTGCGCTGCCGTAGCGCAAAGATGTCTGCCTCCATGGCTGCAAGACCCGCTCCTATGTAATTATAAATAACGAATTCTAAGGCAACGCAAATATTATGGTTAAAAGGCTGAGCTCATAGGTGATGATAAATAACATAGTTATGTATAATATATTAAATTTCTGACTTTATATCCCTGTAATTATTACACACTGTAGCTTTAAGACATTTTTACTAATTTCTAGATGGTTTTTGCAGTGGTTGGGTCTGCTTCTGCAAAAGTCCACCACTCGCTCCTTGGTTTTCCCTGCATATTATTCACTTGACATAAGATAAAGGATATTTCCTATTTTAAACATAAATAATCTTACTCTGTTGGCAAATTATGTTAACAGCTAAAAGTAGAAAAAAAACACACTTATTCCAAAACTAATTGCTTATTTATCATTTTATTTTTTTGTATTGTATGAAATTATTTACTTTAAAATAACTGCATCTTGCTGCTTCTTATTTAAAAAAACTGTTTGAATTTTGATGGGCAAAGTGTCTTTATGGTATAAATTGTTAGGTTTCTGTTTCTGTTATGATTTTCTTTTTAGTATTCAGTCTTCTTGGTTTTCCATTTGTTGTCCTCTGCTGCCCTCTTGTGTCCTCTTTCCCTTGCTCTGTTTTCTGCTCTGCCCTCACCTGTTTTCAATTCCCTCGTTAGCCCCCTCTTTGTCTCTGTCCCCTTTAAAAGCCCTCCCTATTCAGTTCCTGCTTGCTGGATCCTCGTCTAACGTCTGTCTGCCTTCCTCGTCTCTCCCTGGTTCCTAGAGTTTGGTTTTCCCGTGATGTCTCCTTGGTTCTGGTTCGTTGTTATTTTGTTGGATTTTTTTACTCCTGCCTCAGTTCCTGTGAACCTTATTAAACCCACTTAAATTCACCTCTGCCTACTTGCCTCTGCATTTGGGTCCTCAAACCAACACCAAATCCTGACATAGATTGTATTACTCAGATGTGATAAATAACTCAGTGATAGAGATGCTCAAACTAAATTAAAACATGAAAAGAAATAGATCTTTTTGCTAAATACTCTATTTAAAGGCTGCTGTGATTTTCAAATATTTTTTTAAGGTTTTCATTCTGACTTTGATGGCCTTCAGGAGCCATGACAGCAAGTCCAACCACGATCTACTTACGAGGATGAGCTGTCCAAATGTGAGAATTGCCGGTCCAATTCTGATCAGCGTATTGATGATTGTACGAAACCTAGAAGAGTAAACATTTGTTTGTTAGCTGGACCTAAAATACATAAATAAACACAGATGATCAAGTCACAAGACAAAGTAGTTGGAGAGACATGCATGGTAGAGATGCAACTTCCTGCTTCATTAATATTTAAAATGCTGCAGTTTTGTCTTTTTTTTTTTAAAGCATGTGGATGCAAATAATATACTTCAATTCAGTTTATTTATATAATGCCAATTCACAAATAATTTAATTTCAATGCACTTTATAGAGACAATTCAACCAGATCGTCCACTCAGATTAATTCAAAGTTGTCTATCTAAAGAAAACCAGTTGATTTCATCGACTCATTGACTCGAAGGCAATCCCTCACACTAAGCATGCTTGTAGCGACAGTGGAGAGGAAAAACTCCTTTTAACAGGAAGAAACCTCCAGCAGATCCATATGATCCAGATGATGAGAAAGGATTTTATATATTTTATGAAATAAGACGAAAACTACTCTGTGTAAGACAGGTCGAAATGTGAAATTCACATGACCAAAAAAGAAAAATGTTGCTTCCAATTTTCCAACAGAAAGAAGGTATTAGAAGATGATCCCCCATCAATGCATCACAGCAAACACCAGAATAAAACCTTTTGATGCTGTCCACCACCCGGATCAACCTGAGGACTCGCAGGATGAAGACGATGTCCAGAACCTGCCGGCTCGTGTAGCCGCCAGCTGCACCAGAACAGAACATGTTGAGTTACGTGAGAACATGAAACATGTTGTGATACAATACATGTTTATCCTGTGTTGAGCATTGGTTGCTTGACAAGAAAAATACAGAACATTCACTCTGAAATGTAAGGCTTTAAATAAAATACCAGACTATTTTAACGTAGACCAAAAGTATATTTTGCACATTTTACTATTAGTAGCTAAAAAAAACTATAACAGCTAACTGGAGACAAGTTTTGTCACCAACTATAGCAGAGTGGAAGAATAGGGTAAAACAAGTGTATATGATGGAAAAAAATGGCCGCATGTTTACAACTTAAAGTGGACAAGTTTAATCAAAGATGGCATTTGGTGAAATTATATTTGGGTGTGTGATTTTGGGCTGTAGTGATTCTAATGGATCACAATCTGCTCTGTCATCGGTTTTCCTAAAGTATGTACGTGTATATGTATGGGTATGTATACATGTAGGTACGGTGGCCCTGAAGTGCAAACTGCAACTACAAATCTAAAAGCGCAACTACATTAAGGAAATCGCAAGTACATAAAGCAAAGTGCAACTACATTAAGGAAAACACAATTACATTAACCGACCGGAAAAGGTTAGGTACCAATGGGAAACATGAGACATCGCTGATTGGACGACGGCGCCGTTTGACCCTTGAACCGTAAGTCATTCTGCCTGCTGTGGCTTTTGAAAACATGGATATTGTCGGTGTCATGATGGGTTACTGAAAAGCCCAATATGCAGAACACCACAGAGACTGAATAAAAGTTTAACAAGTTTATTGTTCACAAGCACATGGAAATGACACTGGTACTGGTTCAGGCCTGGGGGCTGGTTCACTGGAGTCTGTGTGGGAGATAGTTCCGTTAGCTTGGACGCAGTTGAGTTTGAGTGTTTCAGGTTTATACCTTGAGAAGTCCGGTTTAGGCTTTGAGAGAGGAACTGTTGGGTCCAGAGACTGTTTCGTTCAGCAGAGTCCGATAACTGCTTCAGCGTCTTACTTCTAGCGTGAGGGCAGACCTTGGCTTTGGGTTTCCAGCTCTTAGTCCAGAGCTGTATGGGAATCCAGAGAAGAGTCTTCGGGTTTGGCTCAGAGGGCAGGCTCGGCAGGTTAAGCTCATCCAGAGCTCACAAGAGAAAAACAGGATTCCTGAAAGCAGAGACAAAAGGATTAGAATCCTATCTGGATTCATAGCAACAAAGATTCTCAGAAGATGCTAGGCTCAGGTGCTAACCAAACTGGATTTAACACTGCGGCGTCGAGGCAAGGTCTGAAGGCAGGTTATATACTGTGGATCCTCTGATGATGAGATGTGTCGAAGGCTCAGCTCAGGAGGATCCATGGCGGACTCTGCTGGAGAAAGATGGAACTTCTCCAGCTCCCAACAGTCGGCGCCCCAAACATAGCTGCCGTTATCCAGAAATATTTTGAATCAGGACATACGTACGAGGTGATACTGGATAAGCTCAAGACTAATCACGAAATTTCTGTTAGTTTGCGTACACTGAAATCACACTTAAAAGAAGCTGGACTGTTCAGACGACGCAACTTCCGGTTCAAGGGTCAAACAGCACCGTCGTCCAATCAGCGATGTCTCATGTTTCCCACTGGTACCTACCTTTTCCGGTAGGTTAATGTAATTGTGTTTTCCTTAATGTAGTTTTGTTTTTCTTAATGTAGTTGTGCTTTTAGATTTGTAGTTGCAGTTTGCACTTCAGGGCCACCGTATGTAGGTGGATATATATTATATATGTAATTTTTTGCTGTTTGTTTACTTTATGTTGTATTTTTGGCCTGTGGGGGAGCACCCTGGTGGGGAAGGGGAGGGGTGTGGGTTTGTGTGTATGTATATGTACATATGTTACAGTTCTCTCTTGTAGGGTATTCAAAGTTTCAGGTGACCTGGTTTATCGTGCTGCATTTATGTTGAAATATTGTATATGTGGCATCAGTATTTCTGTTATTGATTTCATTGCTCTTGGCTCAGGGAATGTTCTTTTGTTGTGAAAAGTTCTTGTCATTTTTTCTTAAAATAAGTGTGTTTTTTATTATTTCAAGTGCATTTTATCTAATTTTTTTTTTTTCAAGGGTAAAATTAGTCATTCCATTGGGAAACTATCTAATTTACCTGCTCAAATTATGGGTGAATACACTTAATTTAAAAATCTTTGACTTATTTCTAGATCGTTTTTGCAGTGGGGGGGGGGTGGGGGGGGAGGGTGGGGGGGGGGGGCTTCTGCAAAAGTTTACCACTCACTCCTTAGTTTTCCCTGCATATTATTCACTTGACATACGATAAAGGACATTTCCTATTTTAAACATAAATCTTACTCTGTTGGCAAATTATGTTAACAGCTAAAAGTAGAAAAAAAAATACACTCATTCCAAAACTAATTGGCTATAATTTTTTGCTGTTTGTTTACTTTATGTTGTTTACCCTGGAGGGGAAGGGGACATATGATAGTATGTATGTGCAGTTCTCTCTTGTATAAATAAAAAAAGAAATGTAAGGCTTTTATTTTGAAATGTAAGGCTTTTATTTTTGAAATTCTTTCTATGTCATTAAATCTGCAGAATTTGGCCCAAACTCCTGTTTATTTTACTTCCAATGGAAGGCAGGAAATTACACTTTTTTTTTTCTGTAATAGTTAAGAATTTTTTAGTGGAGCTTTGACCTTCAAACTAACCCCATCTACCATCACCTCAATACTTAAAGGAATAGTACACCCAAAACATGATTAGCCTTCATTTTCTACTCACCCCCATGCTGAACAACACTCTGGAGTGTATTCCAAGTGTCCTGAGTGGGTAGCGTCCATAATTTACTCGAAATGAAGTCATTTAGAATGTTTTTAGAGCATAAACAGTAGTGTATAGGATTTCCTAAAAGCGCGTTCACGAGTCTACGGAAACCGGCAGACCAAACCAGATGAAAGTGCGCATTCAGCGTCTGCTCTGCCGATAATGCAAGCGTAGAAGAAGAAATGTGCTGTTTACCTGTGCAAAGAAAGAAACAACGAAAGAAAAATGTCTGAGGACTTCAGTGTTGAGGAAGAGCATGAGTTCTTTGCTGAGCTGAATGCGCACTTTCATCTGGTTTGGTCTGCCGCGGTTTCCGTAGACTCGTGAACGCGCTTTTAGGAAATTCTATACACTACTGTTTATGCCCTAAAAACATTCTAAATGACTTCGTTTCGAGTAAATTCTGGATGCTACCCACTCAGGACACTTGGAATACATTGGACGAGCAGTATGGAGGAATATTGACACGTTTTTTGTGGACTTTTATGGACCTTTCTGCCTCGGGCACCATAGACCTCCATTATTTGAATGTCAGCAGACAGCAAGAAGCCTCCCAGATCTCCAGATGCATTTGAGATATCAAAAAAGTACTCCAGAGTGTTGTTCAGCATGGGGGTGAGTAGAAAATGAAGGCTAATCATGTTTTGGGTGTACTATTCCTTTAACCTTAATGTTTGCCCTAAAAGCAGCCATCCAGTTAAAAGCATAGTCTCTCTCTGATGACAGCCATGCTCATTCTTATGATTTGCAACTGTACATCTCCTAAATACAGTAGTAGGTTTTTCACTATACATAATAAATTGTACTTTTTTTTCCTGCATGCTGTGATGCTGCTGTTGAAAAAAATCGGGTACTGACCCATGCAAGTGGATGGAGTTTTATGATTGATATAATAGTCTTTTGGTCTGACTTACCGTTGAACTAAAGAACAAAATATTAATTAAACAAATCATTTATTGAATGAGGAAGAATCAGGCCTTACATGATTTTAGGGCAGAGTTGATGATTGTGGCGATTAAAGCAGCAATGACCACGATGGTGTCAAACCTGGAGACAGAAAAGCAGTTTTCAGTTGGCAGCCTGTCACTCAAACACTAAATATGCTAAGCCTCAGAAACGTGATGAGAATGGATCAAAAGAAATGGATGGAGAACATCATTGAAGACATTAGAGGGACGGATTTTGCCAACTTTATGTAAAAAAAAATATATATATAAAAAAATGTTTTTGTGTGTTTTATAACTAGGAAACACATGAGTGATTTTATTCCCCATGTGAAACTGTGTTCCCAATCCAGCTCTTGTAATTCATCCCCAAAGCATCCGAACGTTTCTGATAGGAGTCACACAGCTGCATTGCTCCCAGCAGGCTGCAAGCAACTGCACCAAATAATCTGAAAATAAGGACAATATACTCAAAACAACTGGAGCTTCAGCTAGTAACCACTGATCAGGCCCGAAATCTAGGTGTAGTGCTGGATTCAGACTTGAACCTCCAAAAGCATTTAAAGACAATTACAAGGTCGGCTTTCTATCACCTGAAGAACATTTCCAGGATTAAAGGACTAATGTCTCAGCATGATCTGGAAAAACTAATCCATGCGTTTATTTTTAGTCGAATTGATTACTGCAACGGTGTTTTCACAGGTCTGCCTAAAAAGTGGATCAGACAGCTGCAGCTGATCCAGAACGCTGCTGCCCATGTCCTCACTAAGACTAAGAAAGTAGAGCACATCACCCCAGTTGTAAAGTCCTTCCACTGGCTCCCTGTATCTCAGAGAATAGACTTTGAAATTACTGTTGTTAGTCTATAAATCTCTGAATGGGTTAGAACCTAAATACATCACAGACTTGCTATCAGTGTATCAACCCTCCAGACCACTCAGGTCTTCTGGCTCCAGCCTGCTCTGCAGACCTAGAACCAGAACTAAACATGGAGAAGCAGCATTTAGTTCCTATGCTCCACTTATCTGGAACAAACTTCCAGAAAACTGTAAAAGTGCGGAAAGCCTGAGTTCCATTAAATTAAAACTAAAAACACATTTGTTTAGGATTGCCTTCCACTGTTCTAGTTAAACAGTTCAACTGAAACATATTTTCTTTAGTCCAACTGTTTTTAATATTCTTTTTTGTTTCTGCATTTTTTTTTATTTTTTTTTCCCTACTTGCTTTGATTCTGTTTTATCTTCCTGTATTTTAATAATCAAGCACTTTGCATTGTCTTTGTACTGAATTGTGCTATACAAATCAATTTGCCTTGCCTTGCCATAAGGTTGTAAAGATTACTCAACTAAATAGCCTGTTTATCAGATGTACCAGTAGAGCAACATTTATTATTGTAGCTATTATAAATATTTTAGTAAAAAAAAAAAAAAAGCTGTCTTTTAGATTTATAGCAAAAGAGAAAGCTAAATTTCACTTACAATAAAGTCAAAAAATTGAAGCATTCACAGGGCAGAGATGCACTTATAACTCTGGCTAAGGTTAAGTTGTTTTTACCGATTTGGGTTTTTAGGTCAAAGGCTGCCGCTTTCTTTCCCAGAGGATCTTTGTTCGTCTCTCAGTTCTCTATCTAGCGGGCTGCCTGGATCGATCTTCAGCAAAGATGATTGGAGAACCTCTTATCTGGAGACTAGCTGACTGGTTCCTGCCCAGCATCCGACTATTTAAAATGGACTAGCCTGGGATCTGAGCTCCTCATCAGAGTCGGGACTATCGTCCATCGCCATCCCCAGATCTCATGGAGCGCATCAGTTATGAAAGAAAATAGTTTAAACTCACTCAGGAACTAAAAACCGTCTCTAAAATAAAATGATTTAGTTACAGAAATATAAAATAACATCTAAAAAAAGTGAGTATCACTCCTCGGATGAATCCAAGGTCAAAAGAACAAGCGAACCAACTCCCCCAGCAAAACACTACCAGCTCCGGCGCCCCCCTCTTCATAACCATTTCATGCCATTTAATACCTAAATAATTCCACTTCATAACCATTAAGGCACCATTTAATATCTGCGTACCTAAAGGACTCTGCATCCATTTGGTTTACTTGGCTAAAAATGTTACGCAAGGTTGCATTAATAAAGTATTGGCTTACTTTGAAATATATTCAATGACTCTTCTGGTCAATATTGTATTGATCATTTCGGGCTGCAGTTATCGAAAAATCCTCTAACGAACCCGAGAGGGTCGGATCAGTCACTGAATCAATGATGCAACGTAGAGTTCCCCTGTAGAGCAGTGTGCGTTCCCCCAAATATGAAAGACAGACATGATAAAAATATAGTTTTCCAAATGCTGCTGAAGATTTGCGGTCATCCAGGTCATAGCCATTCAAAAAAAGTTCAACAATCCACTGGACGTTGTTTCCAAGTTTGAAGACGTTTTGCTTCAAATCCAGGAAGCTTTTTCTATTCAAATGTTCAATTCATTGCAACCCCAACCCCTTTACAGCAAACTATTCCCTTTAAAGATCCCCCTTTCAGAGACATAGACCGGTATGAGGCATTGGAGGCAAAAAAAAGCCAAACGACCCCCATTCCAAAGGAGTGGACCCGTTCATCTGTTCCAATTTGCATGTTTTCTAAACAGAATCAAAGGCTTTGTTGGGCTGCTGGATAAAACCTGGAACTCAACGCCATTCCTGACATTTAAATTGAAAAAGTTTCCTGGATGGGAAGGGAAACATCTTCAAACTTGGAAACAAATTCCAGGGGATTGGTTTTTTTTTTTTTTTTTTGGAAATGGTTACCAAAAGAAAAAAACAGATATGCTTGCCTAATCAGAAACATTTCTGGATTTAATTGAGTAGTAAATGTGGGCTTTAATTTAACAGGAACTCCGTGACTTCTTCATCTGCTGATCCAAAGTGGACAGATCCCAAAGCAAAGATGGTTCATTTCATGGCAGTGCAGAGTGGCCAGTTGCTTTAAAGGTATACTATGCAACCGGTGTTGATTTTCCAGCGAGGCTCCCCCCAGAGGGCGAAAGTAAAAGTGCACTGTCGTAAATATGCTCAGCTGTTATCCTGGTTTCTCCGTCAAGCCAGGCGCGGTTATTTTGAGCTTAGCAGACAGGCGAACGCCACGAATCACCATGTCTACTGCGGTAGAGAGCCCTTTTCCTCTTTCTTGCCTGCTCCAACATGGGCTTTCGCTGTTTTCTCGCTGGTTCCGCCATGATAACTGCACAAATATCGCCACCGCGCTAGCAACTAGCATGCCTTACACTGGGGGCGTGTAGCAGTTCTCGCCGTAAAGCAAGAATGACTCTCGCGATGCACGAGACTTCTGAGCCTGTGGGTGCGGGCCGAGGGCTCCTGCAGTTGCAAGTACGGTATTTCCCCTACAGACCACCAGGGCGGCCGAGAAAACCTTTATTCGACCTGAAATGACTCATTTAATCATCCAAAACGTTATGGAACACATTAATTAACTGAAAAATGTTGCATAGTGTGCCTTTAAGTAGAGCTTAACCTGAAAGTCACAGGCCCTTAGTGGCTAAAAGTTGTATTGCGTTGCCTAAAGGATTTTTATGAATTTTGAAAATGATAAAATAGTTTTTTTTAATCTACTGTAAAAATATTTGTACATTAATTTGTTTATTATTTTATAACATATGTGTATCAAATCTAACTTGGATCCATCTGCGTCAGTGAAGAGAAACTTAAAGATCCTCTTTGAAAAACGGAGTAAATCTGAAACTAAAAACCAACACGGACGAGAAAAACAACCAACATGTCCCATTGCTGTAATAACATAGCCGGCTGTTTGCTGTCTGGTATGTAAAAAAATACACCCTGTAAAAAACATAATTCTAAGTAAGTCAATTTTTTTGTAAATTAAGTGCTTTTTTTTTCTTGAATTGAGCAAGTAAGGGAGACACTTTGCCAATGGAATAATAATTTAAATTTAAGATGAGAAAAAAAACTGCAATATCTTATTTCAAGTGCATAGTATAATAGTTTTAATATAGTTCAAGTGCAAATTGTCTTATTTTGATCCAATTCCACTGGCAGATCATCTTATTTACCCACTCAAACAAAGGGTAAATACACTTATTTAATTTTTTTTTTTAAACTTATTGTAAGATCCTTTTTTTTAGTGCACAGCAAACAGCATTTTTTTTGCGCAGCAAATGGTGCCATATTTTCCCCTTTGTGTTTTTTTTTTTTTTGAAGCTCCATGGCTCAGAAGCTGCTTTGCTTCCACCTAAATGAAACGGCTGTTTTAAGCATCAAAGCTGCTCCAAGCGCGGCTGGATGTACGCAGTAAAAAGCTGCTGATAAAAAAAAGGGCAGATGTGCCACATACCTGGTGCTTATAATCTGGGATGTAGATAAGCTGTTTGGGACGGATGTGACACGGCTCGTTGATTATATAGATAGGATTTAGTTTTTCATGAGGTAAATAGAGAATCAGTATAAGTTTGTTAACAGAGAACATTCGCTTCCTGTAATTTGCCGTTTTGAGACCCAGAGAGCTTTAAAACATGATTCTGGGTTCTTCTTTAACAAACAGCAACCGTCCGCAGAGCTTCAGACATTTAGCTCGGTGGGTAAAAACATACAAACAGGAAGGAAAGCAGTCACCTACCTCAGCTTCATGACTTACCGTATTGGGAGGAAATTCAGTTAGTTGGAAGTTATAATCAACTTCCCAAAAGATGTAGAATTTTATTAGTAAATAAACCAAAACAGAACAGCCTAATTAAGTGAAACAGAGAAATGTAGAATTATTTAGTTATTAAAAAGGAAAAGGGATGAATTTATGGTTTCATAACTGCTAAAAATGTCTCCATAAAATCATTGTTAAAGTTCAAATGATCTTTAAAAAGAAAGTGTGCAGAAAAACTAGACTTCTCTCTGCACTGATCCTCCCCCACCTGTTGCTGAAAGAAAGGTGGTGCATTAAAGCGAAAGGAACTGCGACCTTCACACATTTATGCATCAATTCTTCTAATTGCAACAACTGGATTCAGTTATTTGTTCTTGTGAAGAAATAATATATTTGAAAAAGAAGCAAGAGGAAAAAAAAAAAAGAACAATAATTTAATTTTGGGTTTTATTTCTACCTTGGAATCTATTAAAGTCAGCAGTGGATAATTATTGCTGTAGGCAACAAGCTGGCTCTCACCAGTTCCAGAAGCTGTGTTTGGAGAAGAAGGCCCTGGGCTCAAAGACGTAGAGCTTCAGCAGGATCTCCAGAACGTAGAGAGCCAGAAAAGCCCACTCAGAGTTGGAGATCAGTGGATTCTCCTCATCCAGGCCGATAAACACGGCGTTCACCATGATGATCAGGTCGAAAGTGATGACAAATCCCCTTAAATTAAAAGAAGAAATGTTCATGTCTAAAACCACAGAATCCAAACGCTTCTATCAGCCTTCCTCCTCTTTATGTTTTACTTTACATCAGACGCTTTAAGGTGCAGCAGCTGGTGGTTCGGACGCTCACCGGTGTTGGACCACTCTGCAGAGCAAGCGGCTCGGAGCCGACTCGTACAAGTTGGGGAATAAACTCTGAAGTGGATGTGGTCTGCACTTGATTGTGATCACTTCTATATTCAGGAGGTCAGCCAGCTGCACAAAAGCCACTTTGCCTAATGGATAAACAGACACAAAAGAGGAGAGCCATGCAGTCAGGGAGACACTTTAGGGACCAGAACATATTTATCCTACTAACAGACGTCTCTTACAAATACAGTTATGCATTTTATAACTTTGGAGCAGCGTAATGTACGGTGGCCCTGAAGTGCAAACTGCAACTACAAATCTAAAAGCGCAACTACATTAAGGAAAACACAATTACATTAACCTACCGGAAAAGGTAGGTACCAGTGGGAAACATGAGACATCGCTGATTGGACGACGGCGCCGTTTGACCCTTGAACCGGAAGTTGCGTCGTCTGAACAGTCCAGCTACTTTTCAGTGTGTCTTCAGTGTACGCAAACTAACTGAAATTTCGTGATTAGTCTTGAGCATATCCAGTATCACCTCGTACGTATGTCCTGATTCAAAATATTCCTGGATAACGGCAGCTAAGTTTGGGGCGCCGACAATATCCATGTTTTCAAAAGCCGCAGGAGGCAGAATGACTTCCGGTTCAAGGGTCAAACGGCGCCGTTGTCCAATCTGCGATGTCTCATGTTTGCCACTGGTACCTACCTTTTCCGGTAGGCTAATGTAATTGTGTTTTCCTTAATGTAGTTGCGCTTTGCTTTATATAGTTTTATTTTACTTAATGTAGTTGCGCTTTTAGATTTGTAGTTGCAGTTTGCACTTCAGGGCCACCGTAGTAATGCCATCATGCACTGCAAAAAAATGTTAATCTACATAAGTAATTTTTTTTAAAAATAAGTGCATTTTTTCTTGAACTGAGGAGTAAAGTGAGACATTTTGCCAACGGAACGGGATAATTTACATTTAAAATAAGAAAAAAACAATTTCATTTTCCTATTTCAAATGCATATTATCTAATTATCCTATTTTAAGAGTGAAAATACTAATTCCATTGGCAAACTATCTCATTTACTGACTCAAATTACAGGTAAATACCCTTAATTTGAGAATTTTTTACTTATTTCTAGATCATTTTTCCAGTGTGTGTTCAAAACAATTTGCTCAGACCTGTTTAGAGGGAGGAGGGCAACATGTGAGAGTAGAATCCAGAATTATTGCTGCCGTCTTATATTCTTTTCCTATCGCTTTTAAGACCACACTGCAAAAACGATCTAGAAATAAGTCAAAATGTCTTAAATTAAGTGTATTTATCCTTGTTTTGAGTAGGTTGATAAGATGATTTGCCAATGGAATGAGAATTTTTACTCTTAAAATAAGGTAATTAGATAATATACACTTGAAATAAGACAATGCAATAGTTTTTTTCTTATTTTAAATGTAAATTTTCTCGTTCCATTGGCAAAGTGTCTCACTTACCTCCTCAATTCAAGAAAAAACACACTTATAATAAAAAAAAATGACTTATCTAGATATTGATTTTCCCCAGTGCATGAAGGCAGATAAAATAAAATCCCAACCACACTTCTGACATTAATATTCTGCTTCATAAAAAAAAAAAAAAAAAAAAAAAAACGTGAGCTCTGTTTGCAGAACCAGCTTCCATAGAGATGTTTCCTCCCAGACTCTCACTCTGATGAACGCCAAACAGCCTGGCCAGTCTGCTACTCTTCTGTGTGAAAATGACTATATTTGCATATTAGGATTCGGAGAGACGGCGTTCATCCCAATTTAGATGGTGCAGCTCTTCTTTCTAGGAATCTGGACGAATTTGTTAGTCCTCCGAAACACTGACAACCCAGGATGGAGAGGAAGCAGAGTTATAGTCTAACACATCTCTGCAGCTTCTCTACCGTTACCCACTCATTACTCCATCCATCATCTTTCCCACAACCAAAATCTAATAAATTAGAAAAGATTCCCAAAGGAGTAAATCATTAACCTGACTCCGCATATCCATCTGGAAACCTTCCGTTGAAGTAATTTTGGGAAGGGGAGAAAATACTGGTTAGCTGATTGGCCTATGTTGGTGATAGACGGGCCAAATAAACCAATCAGATCAACGAAGCATATGACGTACTAACAGAGCGACGACGAAGAGGAGCCAATTGATAGATCAAACTCTTGCCGAAACCAGTCGGGAGAAGAGCAAAAACATCTTTTCCTCTGAGAAAAGCCTCCAGAGCAGTGTTTTGCTCTTCTTTCAGTGAAGAAATACTCTGTAATTCCGATAAAACTTGCTCGATAGCTACACTAACGCTAGTTTCATCGGCTGAAGCCACCATGTTCTTTAGACTGAACTGTCGCGCTTCTCGTTGCGTCGCACATCAACCCGCCTCAAAGCCAACGCTGATTGGACGTTCGTTTGGTGAACGGCTCCAAATTTTCTTCAACGGAGAGTCTCCAGACTGATTAGCAAGTGAAACCTTGAAAGCTCGCGAGATCAGGATGGTCTCATGAGGCTAGCAAATCATGATTATCTAATTAAAATAACTCCAATCGGGGACAAAGTCAAAACGATTAATCTCTTGAATTGAGGAGGTAAGGGAAACACTTTCTCAGATAAGATAATTTACACCTGAAGAAAAAAAATATTGCATTGACTTATTTCAAGTGGCAGCATGTGGCTCTTTAACGGCTCAGCTTAGCTTTGGCTAAATAAACTTAATTTATAGATATATTAACAAATCCTTGGCTTAGCATTTTTTTCCATTGACTAAATACATTAAATTAAAAAGTACATTTTTTCTGTTTTTTTTAAGTGGGTAAAACATTTTTTTTCTCTCTTTTTTTAAACATTATTTCCTACAGATTTCAGCTACCGGTACTTATTAATTTTTCATTTATTCTCTTGTCACAATTATTTTCTTCAATTCTAAAATTTGAATTCACACAGTAGTTATTTAAAAAAGGACAAATCTTCTATGTTAGATATTTATTAAATATAATAGATTCATGTCATGTTTGCAGCTCTCAGCAGGTTTTATTAGCTGGACTGAAGTCAAAAATGGCTCTGGATTGTAAAGGTTTAAGACTTAGTTTAAAGGAGAATTCCGGTTTTTAACACTTTTAGCCCATTTTCTGTAGTGTCCAGGATGAAATCAAATGATCGACACCAAAATTTTGACAATTGGTCCTGTCTCTGCTTTTTGGCTCATGCAGAATCCCCCCCTGGCTGCTTCAGAATGGCTTCCATAGTGCATGTCCGATAATGTCCTTAAAACAACCTTAAACGTTCTTTTTTTAAAATGTGCTACTCACCGGGTCGTCAGCGCTGTTCAATGACGTTCCAAAAAAAGTTTTGTGAAGAAAAACCGTTCCTGTCTTGTTTTATTTAGCATTTTGTAAATCCCAGAACTATTTTTTCCGATACATCACAACCGCTTATAAACTTCCGCCTCCCGTTCGAATCGGAAGTGTTGCACACTCCAGACCACTAGTTGGCGACAATGTCTCTATATACTCCTCCTCAGTATATTCCGGTTCAAAACGGTATCCTCTACCGTCAAACTCAAAGTCCAATATGTCCTCAAGAATCCACCTTTCGTATTCCATTTTCAGAGTTTTTTTAAAAGTGTTTAACAGAGACGTTAGCACCTCGACGTCGGAGTACACAGAGTGAAGCGAAAAGACTACAACTAAGTGTAAACAGGCCCCATTTCCGTTTCCGGTGGCAGGGGAATATTGACTATTCCAACAGAACTCAATGGGATTTACAAAATGCTAAATAAAACACTACAGGAACGTTTTTTCTTCACAAAACTTTTTTTGGAACGTCATTGAACAGCGCTGACGACCCGGTGAGTAGCATATTTAAAAAAAAGAACGTTTAAGGTTGTTTTAAGGACATTATCGGACATGCACTATGGAAGCCATTCTAAAGCAGCCAGGGGGGGATTCTGCATGAGCCAAATAGCAGAGACAGGACCAATTGTCAAAATTTTGGTGTCGATCATTCGATTTCATCCTGGACACTACAGAAAATGGGCTAAAAGTGTTAAAAACCGGAATTCTCCTTTAAAGTTTACATTTTGTTAGTGTTTTACTCTTTGTTTTTACTTCATTAAATGAGAGTAGATTAGTGATAACAGATACACTACAAAATGAGTAAAAATGTCTTAAATTGAGGGTATTTACCCTTAATTTGAGCAGGTAAATAAGATGATTTGCCAATGGAATTAGTATTTTTACTCTTAGAATAAGGTATCTAGATATTATGCACTTGAAATAAGACAATGCAATTGTTTTTTCTTATTTTAAATGTAAATTGTCTTGTTCCATTGGCAAAATGTCTCACTTAAATCCATAATTCAAGAAAAAATGCACTTATTTTAAGAAGAAATTACTTATTCAGATTTAATTTTTTTGCAGTGTAAATACTTTCTGAGTCTATCAATGATGAGCTCTAATAATAATTAGAAAATAATCAGTAGGTGATCATATTCATAACTACATGAAATCTCCTTCCTACATGATGCAAGCTTATTTTTCTGTTTAAAACTTGGATATGATGTTTAATTAGAAATAAATTCATTTAAAATTAACTAATCATTCCTTATAAAGAATACAATATAAAAGTTTAAAATGTAACAGGAGAGTTGAGATGAGTTGATTGCGTCAAAATAAACCAAAAACGTGCTTCTGAAAGTGAACATGGCGTTTGGATGAACAACGTAAAGAGAAGTCTGAGCAGAGCAGCATGATCAGGCACTTCCACTTCCTCTTAGTGGAGGAAAGGTGTGAAGAAAGTGCATCAGCAAAGCCGCCTCTCTGAGGCCTGAAGTGTGAACCGCATCATGACTAGCATCATTTTCCACATGTTAGTTTGCATCTTTCTGTTAAAAAAAGGAAATGTGCTGCTCGGGTTCAGCCCAGGCCTCGTTTCGGCCATGTTGGACCCACCAATGAAGCCTTGGTTGTCGTCATCGCAGACTCTCCACAGCAGCTCTCTGTGTGGGTCGCTGATGTCGGGTCGCACCTGTCGGACCAGCTTGGTCCAGTTCTCGTGGCTGACCACAGGCGGCCCGCTTCCCTCCCTCTGCTCCTGCAGGACGCCGAACGCTCGCGCCATCTTGTGCCGCTTGGCCCTCACCAGCTGCCGTATCTCCTCCTGTTTTAAGGAAGCAAAAGGTGATCGGCTCTGTTATAAAATGCTCAACAAAGCTTAAAAAAATAAAAAATAAAGACGTTGAAATATCTAGATGAGGAGTATCCACCATCTTATGCTGAATCTTTACAGACTTTATAACTAAAATCCTTTTATCCTGAAGACAGAAAGAACAAAATTCCAAGAAATGGCTCAACTTTTACTTCAGTGATATTAATTCTGAATAAGTCAACTGAAAAAGGAAACACATTTTGAGCAATTACAGCTATTTTTTTTTACCTTATGTGGCGATTTCCCCTTTGATTGTTAGGTTTTATCTGTTTGTGCAGAAATAGCAGTAGTGCAGTGTAACATTAGTCTGGCTATCTCTGACTGACTCAAAGATATTGACTGAGTTAGCCTTTGGCATTGTGTCTAACCTTAGATAATAGAGTAAACAGAAAGTAATTCATACACACACACACATATATATATACACATATATATATATATATATATATATATATATATATGTAATTCATACACACACACACACATATATATATATATATATATATATATATATATATACACACACATATATATATATATATATACACTATATTGCCAAAAGTATTTGCTCACCTGCCTTGACTCACATATGAGCTTAAGTGACATCCCGTTCCTAATCCATAGGGTTCAATATGACGTCGGTCCACCCTTTGCAGCAAGAACAGCTTCAACTCTTCTGGGAAGGCTGTCCACAAGGTTTAGGAGTGTGTTTATGGGAATTTTTGACCATTCTTCCAGAAGCGCATTTGTGAGGTCGCACACTGATGTTGGACGAGAAGGCCTGGCTCTCAGTCTCCGCTCTAATTCATCCCAAAGGTGTTCTATCGGGTTGAGGTCAGGACTCTGTGCAGGCCAGTCAAGTTCATCCACACCAGACTCTGTCATCCATGTCTTTATGGACCTTGCTTTGTGCACTGGTGCACAGTCATGTTGGAAGAGGAAGGGGCCAGCTCCAAACTGTTCCCACAAAGTTGGGAGCATGGAATTGTCCAAAATGTCTTGGTATGCTGAAGCATTCAGAGTTCCTTTCACTGGAACTAAGGGGCCAAGCCCAGCTCCTGAAAAACAACCCCACACCATAATCCCCCCTCCACCAAACTTTACACTTGGCACAATGCAGTCAGACAAGTACCGTTCTCCTGGCAACCGCCAAACCCAGACCCGTCCATCAGATTGCCAGATGGAGAAGCGCGATTCGTCACTCCAGAGAACGCGTCTCCACTGCTCTAGAGTCCAGTGGCGGCGTGCTTTACACCACCGCATCCGACGCTTTGCATTGCACTTGGTGATGTATGGCTTGGATGCAGCTGCTCGACCATGGAAACCAATTCCATGAAGCTCTCTGCGCACTGTTCTTGAGCTAATCTGAAGGCCACATGAAGTTTGGAGGTCTGTAGTGATTGACTCTGCAGAAAGTTGGCGACCTCTTCGCACTATGCGCTTCAGCATCCGCTGACCCCGCTCCGTCAGTTTACGTGGCCTACCACTTCGTGGCTGAGTTGCTGTCGTTCCCAAACACTTCCATTTTCTTATAATACAGCTGACAGTTGACTGTGGAATATTTAGGAGCGAGGAAATTTCACGACTGGATTTGTTGCACAGGTGGCATCCTATCACAGTTCCACGCTGGAATTCACTGAGCTCCTGAGAGCGACCCATTCTTTCACAAATGTTTGTAAAAACAGTCTGCATGCCTAGGTGCTTGAATTTATACACCTGTGGCCATGGAAGTGATTGGAACACCTGATTCCAATAATTTGGATGGGTGAGCAAATACTTTTGGCAATATAGTGTATATATGTGTGTATGTATATATATATATACATACACACATATATATACACATACATATATATATATATATATATATATATACACATACATATATATACATACATATATACATACATATACACATATATATATATATATATATATATATATATATATATATATATATACATATACACATACACATATATATATATATATGTGTATATATATATATATATACACACACATATATATATACATATACACATATATATATATATATATATATATGTGTATATATATATATATATATACACATATATATATATATATATATGTGTATATATATATATATATATACACATATACACATATATATATATATACACATATACACATATATATATATATACATATACACATTTTTTCTGTGTGGCAATCCCAAGCGACAGCAACATCAAGAAGAAAGAACACCAGAAGCTTGAGAAATACCAAGGACTGAAGGAGGAGCTAGAAAAGATGTGGAAAGTGAGAGCAGCAGTGGTGCCAGTGGTAATTGGAGCACTGGGGGCTGTGACCCCCAAACTGGGAGAGTGGCTACAGCAGATTCCAGGTAAAACATCAGAGGTCTCTGTCCAGAAGAGCGCAGTCCTAGGAACAGCTAAGATACTGCGCAGAACCCTCAAACTCCCAGGCCTCTGGTAGAGGACCCGAGCTTGAGGATGACACATACCACCCCACGAGGGGTGAGAAAACAGTTTCGTTTTTTTGTTTTTCCTTGCTGTAACTATGTAACCTGACTCCGCCAGATGGATTTGCTGTGCATATCCATCTGGAAACCTTCCGTTGAAGTAATTTTGGGAAGGGGCGAAAATACTGGTTAGCTGATTGGCCTATGTTGGTGATAGACGGGCCAAATAAACTAATCAGATCAACGAAGCATATGACGTACTAACAGAGCGACGACGAAAACACAACCACAAGCCAGGCTACTCTTGCCGAAACCAGTCGGGAGAAGAGCAAAAACATCTTTTCCTCTGAGAAAAGCCTCCAGAGCAGTGTTTTGCTCTTCTTTCAGTGAAGAAATACTCTGTAATTCCGATAAAACTTGCTCGATAGCCACGCTAACGCTAGTTTCATCGGCTGAAGCAGCCATGTTCTTTAGACTGAACTGTCGCGCTTCTCGTTGCGTCACACCTCAACCCGCCTCAAAGCCAACGCTGATTGGACGTTCGTTTGGTGAACGGCTCCAAATTTTCTTTAACGGAGAGTCTCCAGACTGATTAGCGAGTGAAACCTTGAAAGCTCGCGAGATCAGGATGGTCTCACCAGGCTAGTAACTATGAGCAAAAAGCAAAATATGAATTTGAGGTTGCCTGTTATTTTGCCAATTGATGTGATTTTGCTAGCGTAGAAACTGAAGCTCTGTGAAAGTATTGAATTTGTTTATTAATTTAGCTCTATTTTAAATCTATTTTATATTTAAAGGCTAATGCACAGACACAGCAGAAAAGTATATGGCATCTTGAATGCATAATCTGCAAATAGGTAAAAACTATAGTATTAACAGACCTGTACTTGTAATTCATATTTGATGTTAAATCTTTAAATTGTTTATAATGTGTAATCACCACAACAATGTCATCAATACACGTCTATTACATTTACATAATCAATTTAGCACTTTTGGCACATCTATATTAGTATGCTACATTAAAACATTAATTTTGTTGTGATGATTTAGAGACTTCATTGCGTTCATGCAATGTGATGGGCCTATTTTTTATTATAAGTTAAAGTTAATCTACTGATGCTATGAAACAGTAAGTGTGTCAAAGTGATGAATTTATCTTTATTTTAAAAGTTTTAAGCCGCCCTGAAAATGAGAACATCATCGTTGTTTGATGCTGTAGCGCACATATCGTTTACATTGCAACCGGTCTAACTAGGGAGTACCAATATGGCGGCTGGCGGCTTCATCATTTTTTCATCATTTTTTTCGTAAAAGGAAAACCTGACATTTCAGTAGTCATCTATGTCTCATAAATAAAAAATTATATATATAAATTTATTTAAACTTGAAATTGTAAAGGTTTCCTACAGCGTTTTTAGTTCATAGCTTCTAATGTGAAAATTAGAACAATAGATCTATCCAGGCAGAAGTTTATATGGGTGTAACAACCCTGGCTCTAGAAAAATGTCTTTGTGTTTTTAGTATTTATTCATCCGTCAGTAATCGCTACCTTGAGGTATTTTTTGTAGTTGTTGAACACGACAGCCAAGAAGACCGACATGAAGATATACGTGTTGACGAGGATGTAAAAGATGAAGAATACGGCGAAAATAGAGCTGGAGTTGTAGGCCGGCATCCTGCAAACAAGAAGCAGACAATATTCAGTGCTAAAAACAGAAGTTAGCAGATAAACAAAGATGCTTAGTCATCGGTCATTTCCTTGTTTCTGTGCGCCTCAGAAGGCAGGTTATTAGGGTCATTGTTATCTGAACAACGACACAGCTTTAAAATCGACACATTCAGGGATGGAAAGCCTGGAGCCGACATTAAAGCACAGATTTAGACCAAAAAACATTTGGATTACTTTGTTTTAAATGACCTATATCATATAAACATTTTAACTATGTTATGATGCTCTTACATCATTGAAATCCTGCAAAGAGTCATTTCGCTTGAGTCATGCATCTCTTAGTGCTCTTCATGAGTTTTAATCCCTCCAGAAAGCAGCTAACCTAACCACACTATGCCTGCACTGTAATTAAATGCCCCCTTTCTGTGTTCATAGAGGGGGCGTGTGATGCAAAGCGCCCTGATTACGCCTCCAAGTTTAGACAAAGTGGCTCTTTTAGTTGCTAACCTGCACAGGGCAGCAACCTTTCCTTTGTGAGCTAATTTCTATATTGTGAAAATCTGTTTTATGGCTGAGAGAAGTCTCTATATTCGTCAGCGTTTAGAAGTGGGGAAATGAACGGCGGCACCCAGGGGGGACAGGAGGCTTGGCTTTGAAGGACAGTGATCAGGATTGGAAGAAAACAACTACACTGCAAAAAATTGAAATCTAAATAGGTCAGTTTTGCTGAAAATAAGTGCATTTTCTATTGAATTGAGGAGGGAAATGAGACACTTTGGAAGAAAACAATTAACATTTAAAATAAGAAAAAACAATTAGTTTGTCTTATTTTGAGTGCATATTATCTAATTATCCTATCCTATTTTAAGATTGGCAAATCATCTTATTTACCTGCTCAAATTAAGGGTAAATACACTTAATTTAGGGCATATTTACTTATTTCTGGATTGTTTTTACTGTGTATTTCCTAACAAATTAACAACCACATAGTTTTAAAGATGTATAAATTGTATATTTGCATTTTAAGTAATTTGAAAGGCTTAAAAAAAACAGGTTATGCAGAAGGACTTTAATGTCCAAAATATGACCGGGAAATAAGCCTAAATGAGAAGAAAAACGCTGCAGTCTTTCCTCACACTCCCCCAGTGGTCTGTGGGTTGTTTAGTTGCTGGAAACAAGGAACCCAACATCGTTTGTTCTCAGAGCTATCCAAGTAATATAAACTTGACCTGAGGCGTTTTTCAGGGGTTTTTTTTACCTGCAGAGCTTTGCTGCATGTCTTCCCCTTCCTTCTATTCCAATTTCCTGTCTGAATACTTTCAAAAAAAAAAAAAAAAAGGCCCTAGAGCCTTGAAAATATATGAAAAACACTAAAAAATGTAAGTGTTTTTTGAAGGTTTAGAGCTGCAGGGATCAGGCTTCAGATGTGAGCGCGGTTTCCTTACATGACGTCGGGGCTGTTGGCTGTGGTGACGAGGACGTACAGCTCAAACACGATGTCCAGGTAGTTGGTGAAGTAGGGAGTTCCTTCAATGGTCGTCAGGCCTCTGCAGACAAGAACAACAAATACGCTCATGGGCGGTTCTAGACAGGGGCCAACGGGGGCCAGTGCCCCTATAGATCAGGTCCTGGCCCCCTGGACCAAAGACATAACACTAAAAGAAATTCTAATGATGACATGGCTGGAACATGGTTACTGATTTCTTTTTTTTTTTTTTTTTCCTTAAAAAAAATCTGTTTTACTAATTATTTAAAAACAATAAGGTGATAGCTTCAGTGTTATTGAGATAGGATCTCAGTTTTCATCTGCTAAATCTGCTTATCATCTGCTTTTTTTAAAACAAATTTTAAAAAGTGCTCTAATTTCTACAGCTGAATTTATCAGTTTTTCTTGATTTCTAAGTCTGATTTTATACAAAACTGTAATTTTAAATTAAGTTAAAAATATTTAAAATTACTAAATTATGAATGTATATTGACCTAATAATAGCTTTATTTTATTTATTTATTTATTTTTTTGCTTTTTTTGCTCTGCTAAGGGATTTTTATTTCAATAATCCAAATGACCATTTTGAAGCTAAAATGAAATATTTTTAGTTGGAAGACTTAATTGCAATTGAACCAAATTGAATGGAAATTTCACATCCTGCAGCTCTCCTGTTTCATGCTTTTCTGTGGCCCCATGAAAAACACGCTGGCCCCCTGCTGGCCCCCTGGTACATTTAGTCTAGAACCGCCACTGGTCTTCTATGGACATAAATGCTCCCTGAAAACATCAGCAAGTGAATTTTTGTTAAGTTTCATCAAAATGCTTTAAGATTTGGGAAAACAAACATTCAAAAAGTTTGTTCATCAGGGCTTTTGGATGATAAAGTTGAGGGATAAAGCTTTGGTTGATAACTTACATGGTACAATGCTTTATAGGAGGGAGAGTTTTAGGGACGCAAATCCAGATTCCCTTTAAGCTAAAAGCATAATATGAGATCAGTTTAAAGCATTGTTTCTCAATGAAGGGGGCGGGGTTAGAAACAATCTTTAGACAGAATCCTTGAAAACACCTAAAGCTGAAGTGGATCAGATCCTTTCAAATAAAATGAAATTCTTGTGAAAACTTTGTTCCATGTTTGAAATTGAAAAAAGGGAATTTTGATTCCTTGATTGACTTTAAGAGAATCTGACTCAAATGAGGCTCAGTTACTCTAAAATTATTCTGTTTATTTCCAATAAAACCTTCATCCTGGGAACAAAGACTTTAGAGTTTCTAAGAAAATACTTCAAAAAATGTCCCATTCTGATTAATCCAATATTCTTCAATATCAACATTGGGTTGGGCCATTTTTACTTAAATGTTTAATAAATAATCAGTTTCTTTTTTTTCAATTTGACAGTAGTGATGGCAGTAAAAAGCTCCCGAAAAAAAAAAAAGTAATCATTGAAAATGTTGCTTTAAAGAACAGAATCGTACAGTTTTATACATAAAAAGTTAGTCTGCATTTATCATAATTCGATTTACTTTTGCCGCTTTAATGTAACTTTCAATAAACGTAAGAAATTGAATAAAAACATTTTAAAAATTGAAATACCTTTTATGTTTTTAAAAAAAATGCAGGCCTCACCATTTAGAATTAATGCAAACTTTTATGACCATTAAAAAAAAAAACTGAATTTGGTAATTCACTAAAATCTATCTTACATTTATAGATTAAAGTATGTTAAGCTCTTCTCCTGGTTTATTAAGATTAAATGTAATGAAATAAATGATGACGGAGCACAAAGTATTAGTTATGATATCAGTCAGAGGAGAAAACAACATAACTAAACCTGATAGTGATGCACGATATTGGGATTTTGGCTGATATCCGATATTTTAAAACTCATGTAGCCGATAACCGATATCGATACCGATGTTAAAGCTGGACAAAAATAAGTAGTCATTGAAAATAGCAGTTTTGTTATCCATTTCTGACACTTTGAAAAATAATATACTCAAATATATTTTCATATGCTGATATCAAATTGATTTTTAAAAACGCGGTATCGATCTATTTTACTTTCAAAATCTCTTGAAATGTCATCGTTCTGTTACAAACTCTCGTGATATTTTGCAAATTCTTGTGAGATTTTGTTAGTAAAATAGATCGATACCGCGTCAATATATCAACATATAAAAATATGGCAAAATTTCGTGAATTTTCGGGGGATTTCGTAGCATAACGATGACATATAGCAATATTTCATTAGTAAAGAGATTGATATGGTGTTTTTAAATGGCAATATATCAGCATATGAAGATATTGTGATATTTTAATGGATCAATATTTTTTCCCTCGTCTTTAGAAGTTTTTAAGTCTGTAAAAAAGAAGTTTTTGAGGAAGAAGTAGTATTTTTTTTTTTTTTTTTTTTGACTTTAGAAACTCAGAAGCTGATCAAATATCGGGTTAAATATCGGTGGGGTGGCCGATGTCTGATATTCAGTTTTAAGGCCGATACCGATAGGGGGGCGATTATATCGTGCATCCCTAAAACCTGATATAGAGATTTAACCAAGTATTATTAGGATTTAAGCTGGACATGTTCAAAGAGCAAAGGAAAAGATTCCTGTTCAACCAAAATCAACTTTATGCAGTGTGAAAGCAAAAAATACAAAATTTAAAAAAAAACTATCATCATCATCAGACCCACATACAGAAGCCTTAATCCTCAGCATAGTTTTAGTTGAGTTTGAATCCCAACCCAGGGATGGTTGCTACATGTCTTCCTGCCCTCTGTGCAATAACTACCAGCAGCTCCACCAATATATAAAAAAATGAGCCGTCATACCTTTTGCCCAGCAGCTTGAGGGCCATGAGGGAGAAGATGAGGATGCTGAATATGAAGAGCACAAAGACGGAGGAGATCTCAGGAAGAGCGTTCCGGATGCTCCTGAACGCTCTGCGGAGCTGAACACAAACAGACCGACACGCAAAATAAACAAACCAATGACGCATCTCCTCCCTGAGGGTCTCAAACCATTCGCCCTCATCCGCATGGACACAAGCTAACGATGCGTTCAGGTGCCATCAGCTCATTAAAAACTGATTCATTACCACATTTAGCAGCAGGAAATTCCAACAGACAAAGTACATGATCAGCAGCAATAGAACTTTTCCAAAATAATTCACTCTAATATTCCCTCCGCTTCCTCCTACCTTTGGTGCATAAACTCCTACCAAATAAATCTATTTATTTGTAAAACTTGCATTTAGTGGCTGATTATTGGTCTTAATAAAACATCAAACTCTCTATTTGATGGAGGTCATGGATCTTCTCACCTGCCGTCCTTCAGTGACGTTGATCAATAGGAGCGGGCGCAGCACTCGAGACCAGCGGACGCTGTAATAGTTCGCAGCTTTCAGCCCTCCGTAGATGATGATGTCAATTAAAGTCAGCTGGATGGCACACAGAGGAACATGTGTGTTTACACAGACTGGAACAGTTTAAATGCAGAATGTAGTCGGTTAGAAAGGAAATGGGAGAAAAAAAAAGAGCTAGATATTATAGAATGATCCACCTAGACCACACTGGAAAAAAGTATCTAAAAATAAGTAGAAATGTCTTAAATTAAGTGTATTTACACTTAATTTGAGTAGGTAAATGAGATAGTTTGCCAATGGAATGAGTATTTTTGCTCTTAAAATAAGAAAATTAGATAAAATGCACCTGAAGTAAGAGAATGCAATTGTGTTTTCTTATTGTAAGTGTAAATTGTCTTGTTTCATTGGCAAAATCTCTCTTTTACCTACTAAATCCAAGAACAAATACACTTATTTTAAGAAAAAACAACTTATCTAGATTTCGATTTTTTTCTATTGCAGGATAATAGGATTAAGTTTAGTTTAGCAAACTTCAGATTCATTAGAGTTTTTCTTTCAACTGAAGCTGCTAAATCATATTTTTTTCCCATGATTTTATCCCATATAACATATTGTCTAATAAGTTGGTCCAATACTCACTTTACTACAATAAAACCATTAGAAACATTATATAAACAAGCATTAAAAATCCTGGATAAAAAAACCATACCATTACCACCACTGTAGTATTCTGAGGAAATATCAGTTACTTACCTGGAACAATCTTATCAAGTTCAAAAACATCTGTTTAATTTATAAAATCAGACATGGTTTAGCACCACCTCCACTATGTGACATCATCCCCCGGAGAAAAACAGCCTTTGGTCGGGCTGTCTTCTCCTGAGAGCATCTCAGCAATGGAACACAGCGCCAGAAACCATCAGAGACTCTTTGTCATTCTCTTCATTCAAAAAGAATTAAAAAAAAAATGGCTTGTAGAGAGACAAATTTGTGGGCACTAAGGTTTTCTGTGTATATTTAAATAATTTTACAATGAATTTTTAATTATTTTACATGAATTGTATTTCTTAACCATAGTGGGTTTTTTTATGTAATTGGTATTGTAATTTTATCTTGTGATTTTATACTTTTTTTATACCTGGCTGGGGGACTAGTGATGAAAATTAGCGCTCCTTAGCTAACTCGGGTATATTTACATTGTTTTAATGTTGATTAATGTACACTGTCCCCTTTCAAATAAACAGTAAATGAATGAAATGAAAATGAGTCTGAAACCTTTCAAATTAGAAATTACTTTAGACTTTGGCAACTTTTATTGTCGTTCTGTATACACAGAGGGCCGGATCTATCAAAGGTTTGCGTATATAAAAACGTGAGCTATTTCACTGTGCACGCTAAAAAATGTACAAACTGATCTATCAACAGCGTGCTAAAAGGATTTGGTCTTTAAAATGTGCTAAATAGCGCCTCTTATCCATTTAGTACTTTTTCTGTAATGAATATGCAATATGGGGCGTTTACACGCAAAAGTGCGTCTTGTGGGAGGAGAACATGTAAATATATTAATTTAGCACTCGCAAAGTGATTTATCAAACCTGAAAGCAATTTTTTTTAACGGTATCTGACTCTATATTTAACACGTTTCAAAAGAAGGTGCAAATGGTCTGTATGCGTAATTGCGCACACATGGCAGCGGTTATTGTCGCAAGAAGGAGACATGGAAATGAAGCAAGGAGACGCAGAGAACGCATTTTTTCACTCCGTGTGAATATTTTTGGAATGAACGAGGAAACGATCATCAAAACATATCGTTTATCCAGCATTGCCATTTTGGAGCTGTTGGGGGAACTCCGAAGGGATTTGGAGCCAGCCACAAGGAGGACCCACGCAATACCAGATATCACTAAACTCCTTGCAACATTGCACTTTTTTGCATCTGGGTCATTCCAGCGTACGGTTGCAGCGAGAGCTGGGATCTCCCAATCTCGTTTTTTCAGAAGTGCTGTCCGACAGGGTCGTGGGTTCTCCCCCTGCGCCTGTGGAGCAACATGCCAATGCTGCGGGGATGCGTACGCGCAGTAATCTCATCCACAGTCACTTCTTGTGAGCCATTTGGTATGTGCATTTTTCTACAGGCCGATACAAAACACCTGTTTTTTGTTTGTTTTTTTTACTGCAGTGAAGTAGAAATTCAGCCACATACCACCTTAGGGAATAAAGGTTGCCAAAGTTTATATATATATATATATATATATATATATATATATATATATATATATATATATATATATATATTTTTTTTTTTTTTTTTTGGAGGGGGTGGGGGTGTCACTACAAGATTTAAATTTCTTAATGCACTAGTTTGTACAAACTACAAACTACTTTGCCGCAAACCACAAAACGCACAAAACCATCATTTAAATAGGGCGTCTCCAACAGTTTTGCACCTGCCACTAGTTACGCAATCGCTCTTGTTAAATCACCCGCCAATCATGGTTCAGCCCCTCGCGCAAAATTCCAGTTTGCGAGCGCAAATTACAGCACGCAAAATTGGAAATTTGTCTAGTAGAACCTTTCAGACAGTAAATGAACCTTTTCGTTCCATAAAGTGAAGCAGGGATCAAATGTAAACAGTGTGGGAGAAAAAAACATGGTGCAAAAAATGCATTGATATGGAAGTTAAGAGCATTAAATATATATGGTGCAAATATGCAGCATATTTTGGTTTGGTGTTATCAGCTAGAGGCAGAGTCTGAGACAACAGTTCAGCAGTCTGATGGCGGTGGGGAAGAAGCTGTTGCAGAATCTGCTGAGTCTGCATCGATTGCTGCAAAGCCTCTTCCCATTGCCATTTTACCTCGAGCCACAAATATTACATGGCCTTTAAATAAAACACAACTTTATATTTTTGCTAAATATCTTAAATAGGAAAAACGTTTGCTGTTTTTAGTTTTAAAACAAAGGATACAACTAAAAAGCATTGTGTTTGGATATTGTTCTATGTGATATTGTGTTATCTTAAAAAAAAAAGAAGAAATCTAGATCTAAAAGCATATTTCTGGTTCTTTAATGTCATTTTGTAATGAAAATTAAATTTAAATGTTCTTTTAAAAAACTGCTGAAGCTTGTAAGAAGGGTATTTGTTAATAAACTATATAAAAACGTTTGCTTTTTAGTTGTATCCTTTGCTTTAAAACTAAAAACAGCAAATGTTTTTATATAGTTTATTAACAAATACCCTTCTTACAAGCTTCAGCAGTTTTTTAAAAGAACATTTAAATTTAATTTTAGATCTAGATTTCTTCTAATTTTTTTTTTAAATAACACAGTATCTTATAGAACAAAATCCAAACACGATGCTTTTTAGTTGTATCCTTTGCTTTAAAACTAAAAACAGTATTGTGTTTGGATTTTGTTCTATAAGATACTGTGTTATTTTAAAAAAAAATGAGAAGAAATCTAGATCTAAAATTAAATTTAAATGTTCTTTTAAAAAACTGCTGAAACTTGTATGGGTATTTGTTAATAAACTATATCAAAAACGTTTGCTGTTTTTAGTTTTAAAACAAAGGATACAACTTAAAATGCATTGTGTTTGGATTTTGTTCTATATGATATTGTGTTATTTGAAAAAAACGACAAGAAATCTAGATCTAAAAGCATATTTCTGGTTCTTTAATGTCATTTTGTAATTAAAATTAAATGTAAATGTTCTTTTAAAAAACTGCTGAAGCTTGTAAGAAGGGTATTTGTTAATAAACTACCGGTATATCAAAAACTGACTATTGTTTTTAGCCACTATTAAGAGCCATTTTAGATCCACAGATTGCAGACCGCCGACCGAGACTTTTAATGTAGAAGTCCCAGAGTGTCGGACCCTTAAATGGAAACCAATTTTGTAGTTTGTTAAAATTAAATAGAATCCAAAAGGACTAGATCTGATCTGTAAAATGCTCCTCCAACATATCAATATGAGGTGCCCGTTAACCACTTTTTTAAGCTAAGCTAAGTATGTGGACAAAACAACAGCCTTTTCTTTACAAGAACAATTAAAAGAAAGTCCATCATAGAAAATAACCGAAATAATCCTCTGCCGTCCGTCTTCCTGTTTCTTTCTGACCCTCAAACCGTCTTAAATGTTTTTTCTTTCTGGCAAAAATGACAGCCTAGAAGCTCCTGGTGTCAAAGTTACTAATCAACTGCCTTCATCTCCTTCCTGTGTTGAGCAAGCTCTGCACTGGTGGCAACGAGCTTCTGTCATCAATAATCCAGATCAGGGCTGAATAATAGATCTGCTCCCATTCTATTGTCAGAGTGTGTAATATGAATTTTCCAAAGCCTTGCTTAGAATACAATGTTTGCCGGTATTTATATTCCAACTATTAGGAACTGAACTGTCGCTCATATGGAGTCTGGCTGATACAGGTGACTGCGTCTAAGATGGTGGACGACATCAGAATGATGGAAGAGAAAGGAAGGAATTAGAAAAATGTGGATTTTATATTATATTTATGGGTAGTAATAATAATAATGGTATTTATAAAACTACATTTGTATCCATTGCAAGTACGTATAAAAAAAAATTGCGGTTTTTTTTTTTTTTTTTACACAGAAAACTTTTGTTGGCAAATTTTAAAATATTCCTGCATAACAGACTAATAAAGTGAGCGATCACATCAAACCTGAAGGTGAAACATTAACTAAGCTTTTGGCCATTTTTAGACCGACTCTGACATTCATTTCTAAACGAGCACATGATGTAGTTAGAAAAAGAAGCACTAAGGTTTTAAACTGGGCCATAAAAAGAGAAGAAGAATTACAACTGCGGAGTACTTCATGTTGTTTTAGCTGATAGTGAGCCTCAGAGTCACCAGGAAGTCTTTGCTGCTTTAAAGGCGCTGACTAGACAATACTTCTGGCTAAAGGATATGTCACAACAGCAGGAACGTCTCCTCAGCACATTCAGGCAGGAACGCTGCTCGGCGCAGCGCATCCATCCCACATACACAGAAAACACGAACATACACTGACAGGCAAATGCTCCTTTCGTCGATTTCCTAATCAGGGGCCGCATAGAAAAGTTAGGAAGATTCTAAGGGCCCTTGAGTGTGGAGGGCCCCCAAAACACTGGAAAAACGATGTAGAAATAAGTAAAAATCTCCTAAATTAAGTGTATTTACCCTTAATTTGAGCAGGCAAATGAGACAGTTTGCCAATGGAATTAATATTTTTACTCTTAAAATAAGATAATTAGATCATTTGAACTTGAAATAAGTAAATGCAATTGTGTTTTCTTATTTTAAATGTCAATAGTCCTGTTCCATTGGCAAAATATCTCTTTTACCGCCTCAATCCAAGAACAAATGCACTTATTTTAAGAAAAAAAAATGACTTATCTACATTTTGATTTTTTTCCAGTGAAGAAGAAAAGATTTGACCTGCTATAATTTTTTCGAATATAAAAAGGAAATCCAGCAGTGAAAAAAATAATCTTTGTGTTCTTAAAAAGATAATTTATCCGCCCATGAAATTGCAATAAATGGTTTGGTCCTTAGGTCCTGCATGTGGCATCAGGTCTCCCCGTCTGTCACCAGCAGTTTGCTCATACAGGAGCTTAAATGTCACGCAAGCATCAGTTAACGTAGAGATACAAAAAAAAAATTAAACAAATTTAGAAAAATGTATAAATAAGCATCAGTGCTGAAAAATCAGGGCCCCAAAGTCTGGTTTTCAAGAGGGAAGAGAAAGAAGAAAGAGGAGAGAGGGAGAAGGCGTCCAATACCGTTACTCCAGGCCAATACCATGACTCAGTTTTTAAAATCGTAGGGAAATCATATTTGAATGTCAAATTATTCAGCCTTAAACATGTATATAAATGTACTTTTTATCTGATCATATTGAAAATTTCTCTTAAAAAAAAAAAAAAAAAAAAAAAATCCTGTCCTAAAATCTATGGGGGTTTTTTTTCCCGTTCTCTTCTGCAGGCCAGTTAGTTCTACGTCAGCCTGAACACCTAAATTCGGCCAATCATATATCAACCGTCATCTGTCAATCAACTTTTTTCGGTCATAGCATCTTGATTCATATGTCGCAGCTAATATAAACAATGGTTGAAATCAGAAATCAGAATCCTTTCCTTTCCCATTGAGTTGCGTCCCAGTGTTCACGGGGATGGACGTCTGTGTCTTCAGCAGGCGTAGAGCTAACAGAACTGGCAGCGTTGCGAGGCAAGGGCATAAACACGTACGGCTGGAAGCCTTCTACACCAAACTAAGCTTCTGCCGCCCTGGCGTCCTCTTCCACAACATCTTCATCCCCGCTTTCCTCCTCTAAATAAAAAATGGATGACGGAGGAGACTCATCCACGACCTCCGACACTAAACTCTCCTCCTCTTGCATGTTTCCGCTGTCCATAGCGTTCCTTGACAGCGTCGTTTCTAAGTCACCAATTTAGTGCTACTTGGTCCCAATGGAATTTCCAATTGGGACCAAGTAGCACGATGTTAGCAAGATGCTTCCGACAAACCGACCACAACCAAACTGCTTGCGAACCTTCCACCACAACAATCCCGCCCCCTTGATAATCGACCAATCACATTCACTTTATTCACTCGTGTAAAGTCGTGCACCAATCTGGAGAATTCAGAAATGCAATGGTTGGAACGGCTACTTCCCTATGACTTTAAAGAAAGATTTGTTAACTGAATAGTTCAAATTAACGATAGATTATTAACCTGCTAAGTATAATAAGATATCTGCTGGCTACAACTACTTAGTTATTCTAAATTAATGATGAGGACCAGCTGGGTGCCGTCTGAAAGGGAACATAGTTGTACATTTGTTTTGTTTCTTTTTGCTTCGTTTGCATTTTTCGAGAAGAATTAAACCAGGATTGATCTAGCATTTATTGAGCCTATTGCATGTCTGTAAATAACAAAGAGGCCAAACAACTAAGCCAGAAAACTCAGAGCTGAAAATTTACATTTACCAACCAGACCAGGCAACAGGACCAGAAGAAAAAAACTGTCCTTTATTAAAGTTATAATGAAACCTAATGGAATATATATATATATATATATATATATATATATATATATATATATATATACATACACATTTATTTATTTTTTTTTTTTTTTTTTTTTATTTTTTTTTTTTTTATGTGTACATAGATACAGCTGTGTTTTTTTGTTCTAAATAAGCTGTTTTTTTGATAGGATGCAAATGTAGTTTAAAGTTAATGTATATTTAACTTTTTACCCTTCTGGTCATTTTCCTTTGTAAGTATAAAGATAGAAATTACATTGAAAATGTGAATCAGACTCTTGAGTTCATCTTTAGTGCCAAATTCATGGTCGCTCCCCTCTTCCTAAGAGCATTTTAAAGCGGGGACAGGCGATGTAGCCGAGGACCTACCAAGAGGACGGCGATGATGCAGATGTTTTTGGGGTCCTTCCAGAATTTGTCTCTGGGAATCACCTTGGCGTAGTGGACCAGTCGCACGGTGAAGACCAGCAGGCAGAGCAGCTCCACCAGCATGGTGACCTGGATAGATGAAAACAACGTTTCAGCAGCACTTCTGGATCTACTGATTCACTCTGATTAACTTTTTACCAGCTGTCTGAAGAAAACCGTTTTTATACAAATCAAACTTGCTGGAAGCAACATTTTTTTCTTTGCGGCCGCTGTCCATTTATAGACTGACATTAAACCCATTCTTCTTGGGGAAATAGCTCAAGCCCAGTCAGACCAGATGGATGCAGCTTAGTGATTTTGAAAACTCTATAGATTTCCTCTTGGATTTAGAGCTAGACTTTGACTAGGCCAATCTAACCCATCAAACACTGGGATCTCTTTGTTTTTCCAGCTTTTTTAATGTCATTAAACTGTCACAACTACAGAGCAACGAAAAGAACACTGCATTTAACACATCCCCTTGGGGAGCATTGTGGGAGTTAAGGGTCTTTGCTCAGAAAGCCAGAGTGGCAGCCTGTGGGAGTGGGCCTTGAACCTCTGGATTCCAAGCAAAATGCCCTAACCACGCCGCCACTCCCCAAACCGTCCCGCTGGAGCTCTGGCTGCCTGCTTAGGGTGTTCGACCTAATCTTTGGTCCAGAGTCGATTTTTCCCTTCAGCATGGTGCCACCACCACCGCCACGTTTTTCTGTGAAGATAGTCATTTGTACCGTTATTTTGCACCATGCATGGCGTCTTCTCCCTTCCCCATCTGCTGTTTCTTGGTCTTCATGATGCCGCTTGTTCACTAATGCTCTCTAGCAAACCTGGATTTATCACCTTACTGATTAAAGGATGATGAAGAGCCTGTTTTTTTGCTTCCCAACAAGCTGAATTGTTGCTCTTTTTATGTCGCCTAATATATTAAAATAAACAGAAGTTTCAGTTCCAAGTGAAACCTGAAGGATTGGCATTACTTTAAAAGAGAGCAGGCCACTTTATGGTTTGTAAAAGATGCATAAAAAAGTGTTGGAGAAACTGAATACGTTTTCCTCCGAGTTCTGGTGAAAAAGCGGGAGACGAACCGATCACTGTTCATAAGATTGGACTTTAGAGCTCATTAAGCTCTTTTATGACGCGTTTCTTTTTTAGTTCATAACTCTGAAAGGGAACTCGCCCAGCGGGAGGAGAATGGTCTGTAATGTCTGGTTCATCAACATCTGTTAAATGTTCAGATTACTGAAGTCTAAACTTGAACCACATAAAAAAAAAAAAAAAAAAAGAATTAACAAAATAGTCCTATTATTTTTATGTATTTTTAAAAACATTTTGGAGCAAAACACTGACTGCAGCTTAATAATTTGTTTTCTGAAAAATAAATTTAAAATATAAACAATGCTGAAGATCTATTGAGATTGAAAAAAAGAGAGGGCATGTTATAATCTATGCACCTTAAAACCTCTTTAGCCTTTTAAATGGTTTTATTTCTGGTTTAAAATGAATCAAAGGGAAAAAGAAAAACATTTTAACTATGGGTAGAAGATGGCATCTTCTTTACACTTGAAAAGCTATTTCCTTTGATTTATATTCAGAGTGTGACCAGAAGTTCTCATTTTTGTTTTAAGAATGAAATAAATCCGGGAAAGTCACCCTTACTATAACCGATTTTCCATTTCTCAGAATTCTCTACTCTATATTTTAAAATCTAATTATATTTAAGGTTTATATATAGGTTTCTTCCTGTTAAAAGGGAGTTTTTCCTCTCCACTGTCGCTACAAGCATGCTTAGTGTGAGGGATTGCCTTCGAGCCAATGATTCAATGCAATCACCTGGTTTTCCTTAGGTGGAAAACTTTAAATCAATTTGACTGGATGATCTAGTTGAACTGTAAAATGTCTTGAGATGACGTGTGTTGGGAATTGGCGCTTTATAAATAAAATTTATTGATTTATATCTAATAAACACTGTGTTGAAAGCTGCTGGTTAATATGGTTTGTGTGTCATTCTGCTGTGAACATGGAGCAGACAGAAGATGTAAAGGTATGAGATGCTAATCATGGGATGTGGGGGGGGCACATTCTGTGTGTGTCCAGCAGAGTCTACCATCGTACCCACGTGGGCAGAGAGAACACAGCCGGGTCCTCGAATATGGCCAGGGACAGAGTGACCAGGATGAAGAAGAACAGCAGGACCTTTAGGATCCAGTGGTTGTAGAGGAGGTAGAGTCTGGAAACATAAACACATCACATATCCTCATTAGTTACCCCCACCTCCTCATTCCAAGACCTTTCGATGTAAAGATTTAATTTCCTAAATTTCTCTGGATGCAAAGCAGTAAAACATTTTTTTTTTTTAAACAGGCTTGTCAGTGTAGACATAACCCCCCCAGTGACTGCTCATGCTTCTCCGCCCGTACTACTAATGACTAACTAGGATCTTTTGACAATATAAGAAACATAGATTTTGTAGGGATGCACGATATAATCGGCCCCCTATCGGTATCGGCCTTAAAACTGAATATCGGACATCGGCCACCCCACCGATATTTAACCCGATATTTGATCAGTCTAAAAAAAAAAAAAAATACTACTTCTTCTTCCTCATAAACTTATTTTTTACAGACTTAAAACTTCTAAAGACGAGGGAAAAAATATTGATATATTAAAATATCACAATATCTTCATATGCTGATATATTGCCATTTAAAAACACCATATTAATCTCTTTTACTAATGAAATATTGCTATATGTCATCGTTATGCTACGAAATCCCCCGAAAATTCACCAAATGTTGCCATATTTTTATATGTTGATATATTGACGCGGTATCGATCTATTTTACTAACAAAATCTCACAAGAATTTGCAAAATATCACCAGAGTTTGTAACAGAACGATGAAATTTCACGAGATTTTGAAAGTAAAATAGATCGATACCGCGTTTTTAAAAATCTATTTGATATCAGCATATAAAAATATATTTGAGTATATTATTTTTCAAAGTGTCAGAAATGGATAACAAAACTGCTATTTTCAATGACTACTTATTTTTGTCCAGCTTTAACATCGGTATCGATATCGGTTATCGGCTACATGAGTTTTAAAATATCGGCATATCGGATATCGGCCAAAATCCCAATATCCTGCATCCCTAATATTTTGTTTTATTATTACAACCAGGAAAATTTTTATCAACTACACAATATGTACAATTTGGAGGTGTGTGCACTTCTCAGCTGCAATACATGTTATGTGATGTATAAATGTGCAGATTTTCTTTCAGAGGGAATATAGTTTGTTTTGATCAAATCTCGCTTTGCTCATATTTTAAGCAAAGGCAGACACAAGACCATATTAGCATAACAGCTAATATGCCAAGAGAATCATAATAATTTAAGCCTACTAGGTGTGCTTCAAGGCTGTTGTCCTGGTATGAAGACAACATTGCTATTCTTCTTTCGAATCCTAAAGAAATCAGACTACTGATTCAGTTGTCTTTAGATTTGTTTTATTTAAGACAACAGCCTGGAGAACTTAAAGGTATAATGGAGGAGTTTTGCAGCTTTTTTAAAAGACCTACCTTCTCCTATTAAAAAAAGATGCACATGCACAACCCTGTTCCCGTTCCAGAGAGCGAACACCTAATAAACGAATACGAGAACATGCACGAGCCCATTTCTCCTCATGCATCCTCCTTCCCATTGGACATATGATCACTGCTTTTTGTTCCCCGTTGGTCACGTAACTCCTCCTCCACATGCCTGCACCATTTTTGTTATTAGTCGCCGCTGTCGGGCTGCAACAGCCTTTAGCGACAGCGGGGAGCTGTGTCAGCGAGGAGAGCTGACACAGGAGAGCTCTCCACGCAAAGCACTATGGGATATATCTGCCTCTTCTGAGGCCTTTCATTCCTTCTCATACACTTTATGAACACTTTCTCTTGCAACGCTCGGCCATTTTCAAAAAACCGCGGTGAGAAAGGTGAGCTTCAATGACTGTCTGAAACCCTAGCTCACCACAGATATACGCCTGAAAGCTAACGGGAGGAGCATGTAGGATGACCTTACGTAAACGTATCACTGGAATGATTGACAAATAGGAGGACCACTTATTGAAATGATCCACCCGGAAATAAAACATCGTCCTCTATACCTTTAACTACATTTATCTGGAAAATATTGTGTTTTGCTTGTCTGAGACATTATTTACTTTTAAATTGCCAGGTACTTAATATAATAATTACAAAAGTGAAAAAATAAAAGGAATCCCTCACAGCTGCAACCAATTCCTCATCACTGGTGTTAAAGAGACCTCTGAACATCAAATCTCCATCCTCTAAGCTAAACTTTCTACGACCCCAACTGTTAAGATTGTTTTTAAAAATACATTCAAAGCTAGACTTCATAAAACCCAGGAGAGGTGAAACAAAGACTTACAAATGGAAATAGGCAAACAAACAGTTTCCAGTAAAGATGTCTTACCTGACAGCCTGAGGGGACGTGTCAAAGTAAATGTTTCTGTTGTTCTGGGCATCTGACACGTAGATGGTGGCCAGGTCAAAATCCTGAAAATGCAAAAGGCGCTTGTTAAAAGACAGATCGACGTTTTATCCTGTTCTCTGCCTAAGTCTCCTGAGAAAAAAAAAATCAGTTTGCATTAAAAATGCATGTAAGAGGCCTGCAGAGAAACTGCCCTTCACAGTCTAAGGAAGGTCCTTCCGACTGTCATGCAGTTTGTTGAGGAAATGACACAACAAAACCCACAAAAACTCTTCAGCAGATGATGCATTGATTCTTTAGCCTCGTGAGACCATCCTGATCTTGCGAGCTTTCAAGATTTCACTCGCTAATCAGTCTGGAGACTCTCCCTTGAAGAAAATTTGGAGCCGTTCACCAAACGAATGTCCAATCAGCGTTGGCTTTGAGGCGGGTTGAGGTGTGACGCAACGAGAAGCGCGACAGTTCAGTCTAAAGAACATGGCGGCTTCAGTCGATGAAACTAGCGTTAGTGTGGCTATCGAGCAAGTTTTATCGGAATTACAGAGTATTTCTTCACTGAAAGAAGAGCAAAACACTGCTCTGGAGGCTTTTCTCAGAGGAAAAGATGTTTTTGCTCTTCTCCCGACTGGTTTCCGCAAGAGAAGCCTGGCTTGTGTTTTCGTCGTCGCTCTGTTAGTACATCATATGCTTCGTTGATCTGATTGGTTTATTTGGCCCGTCTATCACCAACATAGGCCAATCAGCTAACCAGTATTTTCGCCCCTTCCCAAAATTACTTCAACAGAAGGTTTCCAGATGGATATGCGGAGCAAATCCATCTGGCAGAGTCAGGTTACTTGATTCTTCTCAAGAGCATCAGCTTTGAATTTTTCCTGTCTGTACATCACCTGTCCAATCTTGCAGGTGACTCTAATGGCCTCTGATGCTTTGCAGCAGAACGATATACAGTAGACCTACTGCAGAACCGAGGACGCGTTCGAGATGCACGTTTGAGAACATCAGAGGTTTTAAGGACGCGTTTGAGATGCAGCCTTCTCGGTACATCAGTGGGCCTGGATCCCCCAATTGAGATTCCTGGTCAAGCTCAGAGGAGGAAAATGCCAGCAATGTATTGCCAAAACAGCAACTGCTGACCACACATTCCCTACTTTGCAAGACTATACACCCATCCATCCATTTTCCGTCACGCTTAGCCTAAGCGGGGTCGCAAGGGGTGCCTATCTCCAGCTGTCTACGGGCAAGAGGCGGGGTACCCCTGGACAGGTCGCCAGTCCATCGCAGGGCAACACAGAGACAAAGAACCATTCATTCAGAAGGCCAATTATCCTAACAGTCATGTTTTTGGACTGTGGGAGGAATCCAGAGTACCCGGAGGGAACCCACTCATGCGCAGGGAGAACATGCAAACTCCACACAGAAAGACCCAAGGCTGGGAATAACACCCAGAACCTTCTTGCTACAAGGCAGCAGTACTACCATGTTAAAGGGTATTACATTTTTTTGTGGACACAATGACATAAGAGCTTCAGAGACTCTTTGAAGCTGAAGATAACTCCATTTCTGAATGCCCTCCATTGCCTAACACTCCCAGAGAACTGGAAAGCAGCACAAATTCCAGCAGAGGCAATGCAAGCTCTGAAAAGGCTCTACAAGTTCTACAATGTTGAAGAAGACAAATGGTAGACGGAACTAAAGGTCTTCTACAGTTCATACTCATGTCCTTCACCCATCAGTGTTACATCTATTCTTTCAGTGCTCAAAGAAGACAATGCAAATCTGGTTTTTCTCCAAAGAAGACTCGTGGCGCTTTTCCAGTTTCTACAGCTACTGTTGAACGCTCTTTCTCAAAACTCAAACTGGTCAAAATAAAATTTTGCAGCCTTTCCACAGAAGAGAGGTTGTCAGAGCTTCTTTTACTGGCAATTGAAAAGGATATTTCTGTCAACCTCAGTGAAGTCATTGCCATTTTTAAGAGCAGGGGCAACAGGAAGTTGCTGTTAGAACTGCAAAAAAGTAAAATGCCACTATGATGTGTACTAAAAAACTCAGGAACAGACATAATTACAGACCTACCCTGTCTCTATTGTCTTTCTCCCATTAATGTTGTTAATAAATACAGGTAGAAACCTTTCATCTTGAACTCTTACATGTGTTTGTGGCTTCGAATGAGCAACTTGGTTTTAAGTGGCCAGCCTTGGCAACAGCCTCTCTCAGCAAGTGGTCTCCTCCAAACTATCAGCAGTGTGGGAGGTCAGTCACACTGAGCCATTTTTAATGAAAGCATACCACTTGTTTAATCAGCTACTATCTCTCCCATGCTGTTTTTAGCGTCTACACCATCAGATCAATACAGCCCACCTCCAGCAACACAGCAGCACCAACCCCCTCAACAGAAGCTGTTCGATTTACCCATGAGGTAAAACACAGGCTCATCTCGCTTTGCACTGACCTCTAACAAATATGTGAGTAGGTGTGATATGCTGTGTTGTGATTCCAGGTTACATTCGTTGTAGAATGGGTTGGTACAATTCAATCGGTTGTATAGAAAGGTATGCTGGTGAAGATTCTCAGTCATCCAGGTCATGATCGTTCAAAAAAAGTATTTAAAAAAATCCACTGGAATTAATTTCCAGGTTTGAAGACGTTTCGCTTCCCATCCAGGAAGCGTTCGAGGTTTTATACAGCAGCCCAACAAAATCTTGTTTTTGCTTAGAAAAAATGCAAATTGAAACGGACGAATGGGTCCACCCATTTGGATTCTTTGTTAGCCTGCAATGCCCCATACAAGTCTATGTCTCTGAAAGGGGGGGTCATTAAAGGGAATTGTTGGCTGCCCTCTGTTTAACGTTGTTTTTTCTTACTTAACATAGATGGCTTCCTTCATGCCCTTCTCAAAGAAAATAGGTGGTTTAAGAGTGGCGTGAAGGAAGCCATCTATGTTAAGAAAAAACAAACTTAAGCAGAGGAGAGTGGACTCAGATTTCAGCTTTCAAAAACCTACAATGCAGCAACTGAGTTGATCCCTTCCCGCTAACATCGCAGCCCCAACCACATTACAGGGGAACAGAAGACCTCGCCTATTTTAGTCAGGCCAACAATTCCCTTTAACGACCCCCCTTTCAGAGACATAGACAGGTATAGGACATTGCAGGCTAACAAAAGAAGCCAATTGACCCCCATTCCAAAGGGGTGGACCATTTCGTCCGTTTCAATTGGCATGTTTTCTAAACAAAAACAAGGCGACTGTATAAAGCCTTGAACTCAACGCTGTTTCTGACATTCTGAATTGAAAAAGCTTCCTGGATGGGAAGAGAAACGTCTTCAAACTTGGAAACAAAGTCCAGTGGATTGTTTTTTTTTTTTTTACTTTTTGTGGTATAGCAAGGTACGTCTCTGTGTCGTGTTTTCCATCCGTGCCCCATGTGTCCCTTTTAACTTTGAGCACCTGCCCCTCCGACGGTCTCATCCCTATCTATTAGGGATGGAACGGTTTATGAAAACCGTCTGAACCGTTCAGTTGGCATGTGTTTCGTTCGGTTCATGCGCTGCTCCTTTTTCCTCATAGGCGAAGCGTTTACACTCCAGAGCAGAAGGTGGCGGTACTGCGACTAAAGCCGACCACCAGTAGTAAACAAGAAGAAGAAGAAGCGAAGCAGCGTAGCCGGGTGTAGCAGAAAAAAATCAGTTGTTGTGGAGAATTGTGTGGGTATGGCGAGTGGGAAAGAACAGGAGTTGGAAGACGCGCCAGCAGCACTTTATAGGTCTGCTGTATGGGACCACTTTGCATTTAGAGTGACCTACAATGACAGGGGAAAGAAATGTGGGGATAAAAGTGCAACAGTGTGCAAGCATTGTGCAACACGTTTTGTTTATGCTAACAGCAACACGACCAACATGTCATGCTAACCCCGAAATCCCTCATACTCCGTCAGCGCTCCGCCCCGCTGCGCTCCAGACCGCCTGCACAAAGCAAAGCCTACAGCCTCCACTGTTGCTCCCGTCCGCTCCGCTCTGAGTTCCTTGGAGATCGTAGAGAGCATGCGCCAGATGATTAAATTCAAAGCAGCAAAACATGCGGAAATGATCCAGGGTTTCCGCGGATCATTAAAAATAATTACAATTCATTAATTTTTGGGGATTTTTTTCATTAATTGCATTAATTTTTATGGGATTTCGGTGTAACAATCAACATATACCGAACCGAAAACCGTGACCACGAAACCGTGAACGGAACCAAGGATTTTGTGACCCGTTCCACCTCTACTATCTATCTATCTACACATACACACACACACACACACACACACACACACACGTTCTGCTATATGTAGTGAGAACCCTGTGTTGACTCCAATAGACTTGTCATTTTCAACCCTTTCTACGCCCTAACCCTAAAACTAACCCCAACCATTACCAATGCATACCTCACCCTAACCCTAACCAATTGACACCTTAGCCCTAAACCTAACCATTAGCAAAACAGCTTGTAAGGACCAGCAAAATGTCCTCACTTTGCAACAACTGGTCCTCACTCTGATGGCTAGACAGGTACACACACACACACAAACACATTTTTAACTAATTTCTGTGCCCTGCTATGGAGACAAAAGAAGCAAAGGATGCATGGGACATATAACTAAATATGAATAATGACTTTTAGACGCATTAGCCTGTATTATCCTGTCCAGGTGAGATAAAAAATATCCATTTATCATTTTCAACGATCAGAAAGGCTTTTTCCTCACTGGAAAAACAATCTAGATATAAGTAAGAAATTCTTAAATTAAGTGTATTTACCCTTAATTTGAGCAGGTAAATGAGATGATTTGCCAATGCAATGAGTATTTTAACTCTTAAAATAGGATAATTAGATAAAATGCACTGGAAATAAGACAATGCAACTGTGTTTTCTTATTTTAAATGTAAATTGTCTTGTTCTATTGGCAAAATGTGTCTGTTACCTTCTCAATTCGAGAACAAATGCACTTATTTTAAGAAAAAGGGACTTATCTAGATTTTGATTTTTTCTGATCCATATTCTCCATCAGCTGCTCCTCTGCTTCAGGAGTCCAGGAGTTTTCGAGCAGCTTGTTTGTCTTCCTGCTCTCACCTCCTGGGTCTTTGCAGAGTTTCCTCCGTTCGGGATTCCTTTTCCTGCAGACGCGTCAGGAATGTTTTCGCTTTTCTCCGCTCCTCCAGACATCTCTGAAAACTCCCAACAAAACTGCTCCAAGACTTTTCCAAACTATCTTTCTCCTCGGAAACTTCTGGAAAACTTTTTAAACTTTATAGCCTCTGTCGTAAACTTTGTCCTTTTTTCCAGGACCGTGTTGAAGGTTTTTGTTTTTTGCTGACAGCGGAACTAAAGCGCTTCCATCTCTTTGATCATCATCAGATGTTTTCCTCTCCAGCGAACATCAAAAAGATCCAAACATGCAGACCATTTCAGTCTGTCTCTGATCTGCTCCAAGCTGCAGTCCTGCTCTAATAAACCAATGATGCATTCAATGACCACCGGAAATATGATTAACACAAAAGCTTAAATCTATGTGGAAGCAACTTATCCAACATTTATTGGTAAACTACGAAGATAAAATAGACAAAACGAGAATAAATGATCAATCCATCTGTATAAAATCCACTCTACTTAATTTGTCGCTAAATTCAGTGAGTTTTCATGGAAAACTCTATTTTACGGACATTTATGTGAGACCGTAAAGGCAGCACGAGCGGTCATGTGATTCACAACATCCGTATAACGGAAAAGAGATACACCCAAAAATAATAAAACAAAATTAAATAAAATACTTTATTCAAACAGAAAAATGTAAAAGATGAGCAAAACAGGTTTCTGTTTATAATTCTTTCACATTTTTTTTGCACCAAATGCCTTTAGATATTTTTTTTCTCTCTGATGAGTGAGCAAAGAGGAAACTAGAAAAATGTGCATCTCCTGCAAAAATGCAGAGTGGTTGGTGTATGTTTAAGAAACCAGAAATAGGCTGAAGTCAGGAGCAGAAAAAAAAAACAGATTAGAGCCAATAAATTAATATTAACAGCAGAGACTTGGGAAAAAATATCTAACAATTAAGACAAAAAATAAAAAATCGACAGAATTATAAGCAGAAATAGAAAATTTCATTTTTATCTCCATAAAACTTTACCTCACCCAGACCCTTGGACCCTAATTTTCAAATATTCGGTTCCCTATAGATAAAACTGGTTTATTTAAAACTAATAACACAAAGAAATAGTTTCCAAAATGATTAAAACTGCATTATTTCCTCAAGTTTTTCACAGCTTTTCTATTTTATAGTTTCTCTGACTGAAAGTTTATTACTTTTTTACATCTTGATTCTTTAGACCTTAAAACAAACATTTATAAGCAATTATAGTATTTTAGAATAACAGAAAATAAATGTACAAAAAAAATATATATAATTGTTATGATATACATTAGAAAAGAAGAAACTGATTTATAATGTATATATTAGTGTAGAAGAGGAAACTAGGAAAATGTGCATCTCCTGCAAAAATGCAGCGTGAATGTTTAAAAAAGCAGAAATAGGCTGAAGTTAAGAGCAGAAAAAAATAAGAGCAAATAAATTAATATAAACATCATATGTAAACTTTAATCTGAAGTGTTTAAAGAAAAAGAATGTCATATTAAATCATGTAACATGCAATAGGCAAGGCAAGGCAAGTTTATTTGTATAGCACATTTCATGTACAGAACAATTCAAAGTGCTTTACGTGAAACATTATAAGCAAAAGGGAGAGAAAACAATTAAAAGCGTGATTCAAAATTAAAAACATTTAAGATTAAAAAGAGAGAATACAGAGACGTGCGAAATTTAACTTTTGAATAGAATCTAAGTAAATGCAGCTGAGAACAGGTGGGTCTTCAGCCTGGATTTAAATAAACTAAGGCCCCGTCCACACGAAGTCAAACCCTAAACGCACAAATTTTTCACCAAACCAGCCTCTCATCCATACGAAGCCGGCGTTTCGGGGGTCTGTAAACAATCTTTTTTTATTCAGCCTTCAGAGTGGGAAGATTCTGAAACGCCGTTTTCGCGTTTCCATCTTTAAGCTCTAACCGCATTTTTTTTTTTTTTTACACGCAGTGCGTCATAGCGTCGCCTCTAAACACGCATGCGCGACACAGTATCACAACAACAATGGCGCCGTACTGTGTTGAATGGTTGCTGCTAATGCTACTCACCCTGCTGTCGGGCTTACAACAGAATCTTCTTCTTCTGGAATATCTCCAGGAAGAACAGAGCAATATCGACCACATAGTTCAGCACCTGAATTTGACTGAACCACGAAAATGGACCCGCAGGGCAACCATGTATAAATATTAGTGCGCATGCCCAACATTTCGTCGCTTATTTTTGCTTTGGCACCACAGCGCCACTTACAGGCCTGGCATACATTTTGCAGCGTTTTCATGTATTCGTGTGGACGCTCACATTTATTTTACGTCTCCGTCTTTACGGCAAACGTTCTGGAAAATATTAGCGTTTCGTGTTCGTTTTGACTTCGTGTGGACGGGGCCTAAGTGTTTCAGCTAATCTGAGACTTTCTGGGAGTTTGTTCCAGACATGTGGAGCATAGAAGCTGAACGCAGCCTCTCCATGTCTGATTCTGACTCTGCGAACTGATAAAAGGCCGGATCCGGATGACCTGAGGGGTCTAGTAGGTTCATACTGGGTCAAGAGGTCACTGATGTATTTTGGGCCTAAACCATGCAGAGCTTTATAGACCAGCAACAGAACTTTAAAGTCTATTCTCTGATGGACCGGCAGCCAGTGTAAAGACCTGAGAACTGGACTAATGTGGTCCACTTTTCTGGTCTTTGTGAGAACTCGGGCAGCAGAGTTCTGAATGAGCTGCAGCTGTTTAACTGATTTTTTTAGGTAGACTAGTACAATAAATATATAATTTAACAATGGCTTAAAAGTATCAACGATTTATAAAAATTAGAAATACTAAAATAAATAGATTTATTGAATAAATATTTAATTAATAACATTGGCATCAATTAGGCCTAAATATATAGATTCCATTTGAAGTTAATATAATTTAATAGAGATATTTAATGTTACTGTGCTGATTCACATAATATTTTAAACAGTCAGACAACCATGATAATGTGGCACCCGAGTGGTGTGATCATCTAAAAAAAAAACATAAAACAAAACAGTTAAACTGGTTGTTGGTTAAAGAAAGACTTTCATACTCATTGACTGTTATGATTAGAAATGTATCTGTATTAAAAACACCTTATGTTATTTACAAACCTTACTTTTAGTTCAGAGAATCACGAATACATGACTAGGCATGCAACTGAAGGAAACTTTAGTTTGCCTAAAGTAAAGTCAAATGCCTTAAAAAGAACTGTTATGTATAGAGGTATGAAAGCAGGGAATTTACTGCCGAATTACATTAAACTGATAACTGATTTAAGGAAATTTAAAAAAATCATTGAAAGAACATTTATTAAATATGGAGGTAAAACACGATTAGGACTGTCTTCTTCACTTGCTGTGCTTTGTAGTTTGTTTTGATTAGTTTGGATTGTTTCTGTTTATGTATATGGGTATATAAGTATATGTATATGTTGTTTTAATGTCCACATAATTTTAATTTTATTTCATTAGCAATTTTTTATTTCATGTTTTGTTGTTGGACCCCAGGAAGAATAGCTGTAGCTTGCTACAGCTAATGGGGATCCTAAATAAACCAAACTAAACTAAAACAGACTGCGGCGATTGAGCAGAGCTTCAAACATTTTAATAGTTTAAAAGTTCAATAATTTATTTTAAAAAAGGAGTTCACTAAAAAAAGGTTTGCTAAATAAAATAAGTTAAAAAGAAAGAGATAAAAAAAAAAGATAGATAAAAATGCAGGGCATCAGGAGCAGCAGAGTCAATGGAACAGTCTGTGAAAAGATGTGCTCTAGCTGGCACGATGGAGGGCGCGGTCCTATGGCAAGCCGATTATGGTTCCAGTGCGCCCCGCTCCAGCGCGCCCCGCTCCAGCGCGCCTGCGACAACCAGTCTCTAAACCTCTCCTGCTGCTTCTCCCTCACCCGCTGTTTGGCTCTCTCCGTGTCCGGCTTCAGCTTCCCATGTCCAGTGTCTCACTCCCTCCAACCAAACAGCTGCCTTTTTATCAGTGTCCCAGTCTGCACGCTGCTTGGCTGATAGGGAACACCTGTGCCGCTGCTGTGGGCGTGTCCAGGTGTGAGCGGTAATGTGACCTCCAAACAAAATCAGAAAAACACATGCAACACACAAAAATGACACTAACAAGTAAGTTTAAAATAAAGAAAATCCAAAATTAGAAAATGACATGCAATTAACTTGACAAAAATTACCACAACAGTGATCGGCTAAAGGGATTAACCAGGTGGGAAGAAACGCAACTTTTTGTTTAAAGCATATGTTGTTAAATAACCTCGAAATGGATCTTTAGAGGAAATAATGAATTATTATTCCAAAGGTTTCTAATTTTTATTTTTCCATTTTCATTGAACCCAACATGATTGGCAGTTTAAAACCAAGCAACAGCGCCCTCTGCTGATTATCTCCACTAACAAAGTCACATAGGGCTTTTTTTTTTCTTAAATCAGCCTTTATAACTTTTACTATAAACAGAACCAAACTGACTAAACAAATCATTTCATTATCTCCATTACTTCCAGCTGTCTAATGACGAGAGGCAGGGCACAGCTTGGACAGATCAGTCTATTGCAGGACAACACAGAGACAAAAAAAAATAAACACTAACACCTAAGGAGGATTTAGAGAAGCCAGTTAACCTAACAGTCATGTTTTTGGACTGTGGGAGGAAGGGGGAGTACCCAGAGAGAACCCATGCATGCTCAGGGAGAACATGCAAACTCCAGGCAGAAAGACCGCAGGCTGGGAATCGAACCTGCAGGCAGCAGTGCTCCCCACCTAATTTCATTAGACGTCGGAATATTGTGGAGCCCAGGAACTGACATGGGCATTTTCAATCCTGGTCCTCAAGGCACCCTGCCCTGCATGTTTTAGATGTTTCCCAGCTTTCACACACCTGTTATCAATTGATAGCAGATTATCAGGCTTTGCTGAACTGCAATCATCTGAATCAGGTGTGCTGAACCTCAGAAACATCCAAAACATGCAGAGCAGGGTGCCTTGAGGACCAGGATTGAAAAACACTGTGTTAGAGAGAGCAGCTTGAAAATGACAAGCAGAAACACGATGACCTGTCACCTAAGATGACTTGGAGCCTCAAACCCCACAGAGCGACTTCTAGATCATTAACTGGAGCAGAGTTTCATCAACCCTCCAGTGGTCAGGCATCTTCAGCGGCGCTTTACACACACAGTTATGTGGCCTCATTACGCTTGGTCCAGCTATTTATTTGTTAGTTTCTGTTTTCTTGCTGCTAAACTTTATAATTTTTGTCTTCATCATTCACAGCTACAGCGATCTCTGGC